GGAAGAATTATTTTTGCACATGAAGCTAACAGCCTAGTTATTGGAAGCCCTGTACTTTATTTCCTAATGCCAGATAATTTGTCCTTTCTCTCCCCAACCCAGCTCTTAGCCCCATTTCTCTTCTCTTTCACCACTTCCAGTGGTACATGGCTCCTCTTCACTGCTTGTATATATTTTTACATCAATGTTTATGTAAGTCTGTGTCATTACATTCCTTTTTCTGATTCTGTTGCATCTTCCTCTCCTCCTCTTTACCAGATGACAAATTTTACCCTTATTCCTTTTCTGCTTTCCTTTTGTCATTATTGCTTTCCTGTCACCTTTGGGTGACAGAGGACAGTTGTCTAAAAGGCAGACAATGCCAGTGTTCCTTTTGAATGTGACTAGATATATTCCTGGCCTTTGGCACACATTTTTTTGATTGATTTCCACCCCCTCTTCTCTCCCCCCGCCAAGGAAGTTACCATATTTATTGCAGTAGAAACTTGAAAGTGAGCTTTTTTGTTTTACTGGAGCCATCTCTATGTGCCATTGTGTTCAGTTGGTTGGCTGTGGTTTGCTTTGGTTTTTTTTTCCCTGTTTCAATGTAGGTGTAGTACTGGTGCATGACAAAAAGAGGCTTGCTTTTTATTCCTTGTTGTGAATTATTATGTATTGTTGAGATTAATATTTAGTGCTAAAACGTGTGTTACTCTTTATAAGCCTGTCCTGCAATAAAATATATGTCATTTAGTTACACTGTTGCTGGATTCGATGCAATATGTGTACGTTAGGGATGGTCCTGTTACTTTTCCAAATATATTAAAGCTTGGATTGTAGTTTGCAGGAGCCTTGTGACCACAGCCAGATTAATTATGGTGATTCCTGGTGAACAGGCACTCTGGATAGAGCCTGTAACAATTCTGTATGGTTGTGGTTTTTATAGGGAAACACCCTCATGAAAACTATGACAGAAGGCACAGAGGAACCAGTGACCCTCTGTCTTAACTGGCACTTTTTACTTTTATGTGATAGGATGAGCAAACTTTTCATTCTTTGTATTTGAGTATGGAGACTTGCGAAGACTTAAGGTGCCACTTTACTCTCTTCTCTGATCCCTATGTAAGCAAGTTGTACCATTGTTCTAGTAGATCTAAAGCAAACACCTGTGGACAAGTCTGTGAGTGTTTGCCATGTTAGTGGATCAACCACAGGAATAGTGTTTTCATAAATTCTTTATTGTCTGAGCCACCTCAGGAGTTGAAATTGCTAAACCCTAGATTTCCCTGAGGGTTCTAAATGGTTCGGGGGTTTGGTAATGGAATACAGGTCATGAGTTCAGATCCTGATCAGGTTAGTAGTGCTTGAAAGCTATTAGTGTCAGGTGCCATGAGCATCTGTGAAGTGAGGTGGTGATCTCTTGTGTTTCCTTGTGGACTGATGTTTGTGTTTGCCAGACCCCTCATCCACCATCTTCCTTGCTCTGTTTTTCAGGCCTAAGAGGGAGTAACAGTTGCATTTTAGCTCTCTTTCACTGTGGATTCCCTGTCCCTTTCCTTCCTCATCTTACTTCTGCAAAACATGAATTATTACCTAAATAAGTAAGAAAACGAGCTTTTTTTTAAAATACTTTTCTTCCTAGTATGGACCATGTGTGTCTCTTATCACTAAAGCACCTGGCATACTGTGACCATCTTATTAGCATCAAAGAACTGGAAGAAATACAGTGAAGAGCAATCACTTTTCATTCTGCTTAGATGGTAAGATTACTAGTCTACTCTCAAGTGACCTGGGTAGGGATCAAGGCCTGAGCAAGTACAAGCTTCTGCCCCCACAATGTCCTCTAGATGGGAGTAATAAGGGAAAGAAATGTTTATACATTACTTTATCCAGACGTCACACTACATGCCCACTACATGCAGAGGCAAAAGTGAGGGGAAAAAAACAGCTAAAATTCCTGGTTTTGTCTCTTAGGACAAGCTATTTTTCTGATGTAAAATAGTGTCTTCAGTACTTTAGGTTGTCTTCCACCAGCATAAACTTTCAGACATATCTAAAATGAATTATTATGAAGATTTACATGTCACAACCTATGTAAAATATTGTTCCTTCCAGAACTGGTTGTGTGCTCGATAGGATTAAATTCATCAGCACAAAGCCTCTCTTGGATCATGGTCAAGTGTTCTTTGAGCACCAAATAGGGACTTAATCCTTTTTACAGCTCTCTGCAAAGGTGACTTCTTCACACATGCCCCTGTTTTGCTGTGACCTTTTAGGCTGTTGAACAGTCTGTCCACTTCTTTCAAAGTTGCATGAAAGAATAGTCTGCCTGCGTTCTCCAGGAGAAATAACTGTTTTGTTAGTAACCACAACTGATTTGCTCAGATTCTACATTTAGCTCATATACTGAAAGTGTCAGATTGTTGTCACAGGCTGCTTATCAGAAATGGTTCAGTGGTCTCTTGGATTCCCTCCAGAAAAAGAGAGAATGGTCTCCAAGAAAACCAAATTGTAAACAAAGTTTCTGAGACCCTAGAGTGACAACATTATATTTTTATTTAGGCTGGGTACTTCTGGGATTCTCTTATAGAGGACACATCCATGTCTCCCTCATGGGAGGAGATAATGCAAAAGGATTTGAAATACAGGATAAAAGAGCAGACAGCAAAGGTATAATGGACCTTAGATAAACCTGTGAAAGAGTAGTGGAAATTAAAACAAAGGTAATACATTTTAAATACAACTGTATTTCATGAATATTTTGATTACCAGATTTGGAGTTCTCTTTTAACCACTTTATTACTTGTGAACATAATTACAGATATCTGCCCTGTTCTCAGTGCTGTGAATATTTCAAATTCAAAGGAGCTGTATTTTTTAAAAATAGAATCTCAGGTAGGTGTTATGGGGATCAGAAATGACATGGCTAAATAGTATATCCTCTGCAGCGCTAATCATTGTGATATCTAGATGCTGAAAGAATGACTTCATGGTATATGTTAAGTGTGAGGGGCAGATAGTCTGAACGCTTCAGGTTACATATGTGAATCTGGGTATGCTCAATGCGATTTTTTTTTTTTTTTTTTATCCTCTCAAGGTTAGGTAAAGCAACAGCTGTATAGTTTATTAATGTTCATCTTTCAGCTAAATCTGAAAAGCTGAAGCTTGTATGTGTTGGTTACCATTACAAAAAGTGGAAGAGACGGGTATTTTCTAAAGTCTTGGGGTAAAATGTCATTTTCTGCTTCTCTCTCCGTGTTCTGTTCCTCAGCTCCATGGCTTTGCTGGCCACTGTGCAAGTGCCAGTATTTGTTGGTGTCTGAGGCAGTTCTTCAGTTCTGGCTTTGGTTGTAGTGATACAAATGAGCATGTTTGAAAGGGTAGCATACAGGTATGGATGAGGGCTGTAGGTGAGCTGGAAGTTTAGATTCCTTCAAGTCCTACGGAAATACTCAGGGCCAGTCTTTGAAACAGGCCGGGGGGAATTAGCTGGGTTTGGAGTGGCACATTCAAGCCTGGTTTTGAGGCAGCGGTGGGAAGGGAGAGACTCGTCAGCCCCTATCTGGTCTGTGCCAGGTATCAAATGAGTAACTGCCCAGTGCTATTAGCCCTTCAGCTTCCTTTTCTGGAAGAGAATAAGGTGTATTAATCTGGTGCTGGTTAGGAAAGTATTAGAGATCATCTATGATCTCTGTCAGACTCGACCTCTGCTACTTGTTCCAGTCCGCAGGACTGGAGAGAGCCTAACTCGTGCCATGGCTGCTGTGGTGGGATGGGCAGCTTTGTGCTCACTGAGAGGGGCTTGGCTGGGCTCAGAGGTGGAGCAGAGCCTTGGAGAGAGGTAGGCCAGGCAGGAGAGAACTTGTTATACTGGGCTGAATATGTTCCAGGTGTGGCACCACATCAGGTGGTATCCTGTCAAAGCAATTGTTGCTATAACAGTCCTCAGTATGTCATTATGCACATATATGTGACTTGTTTCTGGATAGAATGATTTTTTTTTTTGTTTTTTTCATTTTCTTCTAAGGTGCCTATGGATGAGTTCATGTTCTTTGGGGAATTTAACATGAGATGTTCTGTACTATCCAATAGCACAAGCACGTTCACAATAGAAGGAAGGTCACAGTGCTGCTGAAAGACTCAATCTTTGTTATGCACCACCTATTCAAAGCCATACATGCTAGAGAGGGCTTTAAAAATCGATTCACCAAGGAACCAGATGACTGAAAGTCCTCCTGGCAGTCTGAATGATGTAGGAGATATCTGGGAGCAATCTCAAAATGGAACAAGACCCTGGTAACAACCAGCATCAATACCTAGCATTCGGGGGAGCAAAACATGATAGGACTTCTGCCAAGTTACCGAATGTCAGTATTTGTGATCGTTACCAGGAATATGTATCTTTATATTTCCTTTGTAGTGCCCTCATTTCCAAGCACTCTAATTGCATGAATAGAGAGATCCCTGAAGAATGTTCACAAAACGTTTATAAATTTTCTTGTTAGCCAGTTCTAAGAGCTGTAAGATCACTTGAGATCTGTTTTTCTCAGACAAGATTGCGATCAGTAGTAGAAGTTGTGTCTGAATCCCTGGACCATCAGCTCTGCAGCTCTTCTGTTTTGGACTTTTGTTCTTGCAATGAAATGGCAAAAAAAAACCCCAAAAAATCTATTTCAAACAAAGATATGCGCTCCATTATTTCTATGCTTTACAAATTCCTGCACCTACAAACCTCTGTGGATTGGGCACTCAAGCAGAACTTTTAAGACTAACTTCTAGACCTCCAATTTGGACACTCACTAATCTATAGTTGTAGAGTAACACATTTCAGTGAGTTTCTATAGGCTGTGATGTGATGTGGAAGCTTCTTAGCAAATTGATAATGTAAACACCATAATGTGCTATGAAAGCCATGTTTTAAGTGCTTGTCTGCAACTGTTTTTTTCTGCTTGCTGAGTCTTCTCCGTCCTGTTCAGTTCCTTCTGTGCTGTAACTATTTGTGTCATTCTTTTTAGGATTCAGAAGGAGGTCTCTATGTGTGCATGAACACGTTTCTGGGATTTGGAAGGGAACACATTGAAAGGCATTACCGGAAAACAGGACAGTGTGTATATTTGCATCTGAAACAACATGTGATAGAGGTGAGACTTCTGGCTTCCCAGCTAACTACCCCAGCAGTGCTTGGGTCTCTTGTGCTCCTTTAGGTAATGCATTTCAGACATAGACCAAAACTTGAAGGACAGAAATGAACATGTTCACATTTGGGGCTAGATATCGAGGTCAGGTGCTTGGATCCCAACCAATCCTATGGCTTCAGTTCTGAGACGAATCAAAATCCCTAAAAAGTCAGATCTTAAAGGCAACTTGTTGCCTGAGTTCCACTGATCTTTTTCACTACATGCTTCTGTGTATCTCATACATACTGTCTGCGAATTACGTGCATACTGTAGGTAACTAAATACTTTTCTGAAACCTGCCTTTGAAGTGCAGATTTACTGGTTTTGTCTCAATTTGGCTAGAAGCTTCTGAGATTTTTATTTTTTTTTTTCCATATCTGAGGTTTCATCTCAGGGTGACAGGACTTCTTTTCACCCTTAGATTTCTGTACAATTAAATCATGAGCCTTAATTCTGACCTGGCCTGGGTTCTAAAGCTTAGTTTAAATTAATGCCGGATTCTAGAGCCATACACTGCCCTCATTCAGCCTTACACCCCTCCCCACGTGGACGTATATGTACAAACTTCATGTTCACTGTTCTTCCATAATATCGCTGTGTATGAACAGTAATTTATAACCTGTGCTTCACAAACATCTGTTGGTGTGTGGTTTGTCTGACGTCTTTAAAGGGCTGTTAATGACTTCTGACCCAAGCTATATGGAAGGCACAGGGTTTGCTTATAGCTCACTCTCACATAAGCTCTCTCTTTTGGCAAGTTAGAGGGCCTAAAATAGCTGCTTGGAGTGGTTTAGAATACTTCACGTTTCTCATTCTACAGCAGTGTTTCTCCTGGGTGATGAAGGCCCTGATTTATGTAAAGTGCCCTGACCACTTATTTTATTTCCAGTAGATGACTATTCATATTTTATCAGAATTATAATGAGGTCGATTGCATGTCTCCCAGGCTGAAATTGTTAATGATGTTTGTTATACTGTAGAATTGTCCTTCCTTGTGAGGGTGGTAGCAACATTTTCCTTCACGCTGTTAACTGAGTTTTTGGAGAGCCTAGTCTTGTTTTAGCAACAGTTTATCTGAGTGAATTTAACACTCCTGAAAGATGATCTCTAGGACTAGAGACAGGTGGGCAGAAATCCTGTCAGCTTTCCTTGTATGCAACTTTCTTCCAGCATGTGACCTGGGAATTTTCAATATTAAGGTAAACCAGGGTTAAAATGAAGCCTCAAATTTTTTTTCTGGATAAAGATTAGGCAGCGGAACTCCAAAAGGGAGAAACAAGTATACCAACTGTTACTTGATGTTGCACACCCCTTCAACTGAACTAGTTCAGTAGTTCCTATTTTTCTCCTTGTGAGTCATGATACCGCAGAGGCATCTATGTTTGAAGGTGGTGACGCACTGGTGCGCTGGGACTTGTGGTAGGAAACCGTGTTTGACTATACAGTACAGGTGAAGATTTTGTCATCTAAGATGGCTCATAGATACCGTGACTGTTCACTTCTTACGTGCTATCTGTGTTTTCCTTTGAGCAGCGTGAAACATACACTGGAACAGTGCTATGAAGCATCTGGCACATGCTGCATTGTGGTTTTGTTTTTTTAAGCCAAGCTTTTGATCGTGTAGGATACAGTAAAGTCAAAGGCATTGGATATGCTATCTTAAGATCCTTTTAGCGAGGCTGCTATTCTTGCCTGTGGTTCCCTTGGCGTCATCCTTGCAGAATGCACTGCATTGCTGTAGAAATCCCTGTTTGCTTCTGAAGGTGTTTGGAATAAATATGTCATGTATCTTGTCACAATTGAATTAGAAAATAAGGGTCAGATCTTCATCCTGCTGGTTAAAGTAGAGCTAGAGTATCTGCCAGTGGCAGATTAGCACCAGAGGCTTCTGCTGATTCCTCAGAAATGTGTTCAAGTGCAAGTTATGGAGCACCCTCTGGTAAAATTCTTAGCTAAAGGAAGAAAATGTATTCTTTCTTTTTCTCAGAATTTCACTCTTCAGAATTTTTAAATCCACCACTTTCCTGTCGTGTATGACTTGTATACAACTGTCTGGGTAGTATTCAGCCCTGGGCAGAGCTTTAGCTTGGTGCTAGAGTGATAGCCCTGTTGAAAACTCTGGGCAGAGACCCATGAAATTTCCTACAGTGAGGGATATTCCTGGATATTATTCAGTGATGGTGCTGCTATTGAAAAAAGTGGCAGTGGCGCAGTTAAAGAGAACGTGGAATAGGCTACACTGACACCTTGTATGGGAAGCATCACAAACAGAATTTAATGCCACTAGTGATGCATTGTGTGGATTCCCATTTGCTGGGTGTGTCACATCTGTTAGAAGCCAGAATTGTTTTGTGAATGGGGAATGTTCTTAGTGATTTCTGACAGGTGGAGAAACAAGGAACAAAACCTGTCAGGTGCTGGGTTTTTCAGTAGTATTGTGCATCTGCAGCTCTAGTTCAGATGTATTCAGCAGTTTGGAAAATCAAGCTGAAATATTTAATGTCAGTCCAGCAGGCATAAACACTCCTTGGGAATTCTTTGGCTTTGAAATCTTTAGTCTTAATGACTTTCACAATACCCCACTTGGTGACATCAGAATTCAATTGGAGCTTCCTTGTATTGGAAACAACATTTTTTAGTTCTGAAGCTATAATCCTTGGAGTATGTGTAATTTATTCTTAATATATTTGTAATTGGGTATGTTGTATCTTGCTGTTTTTTTAAAATAGATTTGGATTCTTGACTACTTCCTGTCCACTTGTTAAATTCCAGTAGTATTAAGGAAAAAAGTGTTCTGCTTGTTATTTTCACTTCACTGAGGAATTTTTTGTGTGTTTTTAAATGCTGAAGTTGCAACCCTGACTCTCCCTTTCCCTAGGGCTTGTATATATGGATAATAGGTTCTGTTCTTGAGTGCAGCCAAGGAGTGTTAGTTAGCATCTGCTCTAAGAATGGAAAGCTTTCCTATGATGTGTAAGACCTCACTGATGATTCAAGCATTCTGTGTTGGCCAAAGCTTTATTTACATGGTGAAGGGAACCACCCAAAATATGTGACCCTTTCAGCTATGAAGGAGCAGAGACAAACATGAACTTTCCCTAGGCTGACAGGTTCTTGGCTGCTTTCTCTCCACCTGTTGTATCCCAATATTATTATTAAAAAAAAAAAAAAGTTGCCGAACAACCTTGCCAGTTACACTAACATTATACACTCCCTAATGCATCATGTTGGCAATACAGCTGCAGAGGCTTATTTGATTTAATTTGATTTAATTTAATGATGCCTGTTAATAAACAGCTTAAGAAGCAAGTGCATTGACTTTTGCATTTCCTCAACTACTAGCATTTTCCCTAGTAGTCTGAGGTATTTTGAACTGGGAAATAGTGCTTGAAACTTAATGTCACTTGGAAGTTACTGTTTTCTACTGTGGAGTTTAGATTAAAAAATAAAGAAAATCCCATGTAAAAAAATTGCTTGGGTGTTGTCAGATTTCCTTCATATTTTCTGTTATTAAGAAAACATGGTTATAACTTGGATAGATCTTAATGGAAGCAAGCATGGATCCTGATGGAAAGGGCATTTTTTTTTTTTTCTGTCTAGAAGAAAATTAGCTGAACTAATAGATCACAGGAAAGTGGTCATACTGGAATTAGTTATGAAAGATTGAATGTTTTATGCAGATAATAGACTTTTCTTCCCCTTCCTAATTCCATGTAGGAGATCTAGTGGTGAGAGGTCTGAGTGATGCTGGATATCCCTGTCTCATGGATAGAACAGCAGTCACCCACAGTGGCCATGACACATGCTCTGCTTAATTGTTAACAGAGCAAAGTGGGAAGGATTCAGATGGTGGCTTTCTCACTCCATGAGCGTAGTAAGCAATGATGAGTGGAGTCCCATTGTTGGAGGTGAATGAAGAGGATTTACAGTCTTGCTCAGGAAGCACTGTGATTCAATAGAAGGACCATGAACAGATGTGTGTCAGAAATGGTATGGGGCTATTGCTGATGTACTGTTGTCTCACCTGATGGATTTTTAATTGTTTCTTTCTCTCTTTCCAGAAGGTACCAGGGGCATCTGGTGGAGCTTTACCACAAAGGAGGAATGCTAAGCTATTTTTAGGTATTGTGAGCAGCTGCTTTCGTGCAGTCCTTTTCTGACCCTGTCTGCGTGTGTACTTGGGTTCTGTCCACCATTGTGTCTGGCTTTGGGGTTCCTTGTGGGTTTTCTTTTTCTGTTGGGTTATTTTTTTAACTTTTGGTGCTAGTTTTTAAAGTTGGTCCAGACAAATAAGTAATTCTTAGTAATTTTGGTGCATATTGAGATATACATACATGTATGTATACATGAAACATTTTAATCCGAGGTAGGGTCTCAACTGTTCTCAAACAGCTTAGGGTTTGATAGTAATTTTTTGACTAATTCTGTCCCTTCTCTCTGATTTCCACAAAGCACCCTTTTATTAAAATGTTTATCAGTGCTTAATGTCTAGATATAATAGGGCTTCAGTGTGGCACTGTTCTGCTCAGCAGCTGGTCATAGGAAGGGTTGTTATTGTTTCAATGTTGTTACACAGGTAAATGTTCTTAAGTGATATCATTGGTTCAGATTACCCAGAAAACCTGAGTGCCTCATAAATATGGATGAGGGGAATGTGATGCAAAGCCTATATGCTTCCTCCTTTCATTGCTTGTGGTATTTCTCTGATGCATCTATTATTTATCCTTTCTGTATTAATAGCAAATAGTGAATTTTTCTTCTGATAATGAAGAGGTTAAGTGTTTTCTTTACAATTGCCAGCTCCTATGGCTGAAGGGAAACAATAGCATGGCCTCCCTTTGGAATTGCTTTGATCTATGGGGATGTGTCCCTAAGAGGCCTTTGCAGATTGTGATCGATTAAATTGTTGTTAATGTCTGGAGTAAGTTTTGCAAGGAGGGCTTAGAGAGGAAAAAAGTCTTAAAATTAGTCATAAAAAAATAAAACTTCTTTTGTAGGAGGAGGCTTAAGTTGCGGATGTTGGTCTAAATGGCATTTACTGTCAGTTTATGTTGAAAATAACGTTTGTCACTAGATGCTTATGATTGATTCAAGATCAAAGCTGGCTGCAATACAGCAATGGTTGTACAGTGTTAACAGTGTGGGTGTAAACAAGAAGTACAAAAACACGGTCAAATTTTATTCTTGCTGATCTTCTGCATATATTTTGAGGTTTCTGTCACTGTGGTATGCTCGCACACAGTGTACGTGGCATAGTCTCTCTGACGTGCCATGTTGGAGTCCTCAAATTCCATCCTTGCACACGAGCATTTTGGAACTGCTGTACCGAATCTACTCAGTAGGAACAAGTGTCCTGGTCCCAGGGAGCTTCTGAAGGTGGTGCAGAGTCACTGGGGGATGTTCAGCACATGGAACTATCACCATTTAATCCAGCATTTCTGGTATGGAATGCATTTTTGAAAATGTATTTCATCTGGTCTGTTGTTCTACTGCAGTTCTCTTCGCAGCCCTTGCTGCCTGGGAGTAAAGTGGTACCAACACCCACATCCACCCCACCCCTCGCTGCTCTGATCCTTGAGATAGTAATTCAATGCATTCAAATGCTTTGTATCCACTTCTTTGGCTCAGCAGATTTTATTATTTTTTGGCCGTGCTTAAAGAACAAAGAATGATTCCTGTCCTTGTTCATAGCTGAGGAAATGAAAGCACAGAGAGGTCAGCTGATTCAATAATTTCTCATGCAGCAGAAATGATTAGCAGAATTTGGCATTTTATCTCTTAATCCAACATCATCTTTATTGGTTTGGAACTGCTGAACTCTATGTCTTTCCCATTGGGCATCTTGGGCACCTATGATAGTGGTTTGCACCAAACTGTCCATTATTAGCCCGTATACGTAGCCTGCCATTTAGGGTTTACCCTGTCAGACAAAAGTAGACACTAATCAGTGGGTAACTGACATGGCTGTGTTTCTAGGTGTCACTGAATAATTCTCTGAAGGCCCAGAGATTTAACAAAGCCAATGCAGTTTGGGTATTTGTTACATCTTATAATCCTCTTTGATGTAAAGCTATTAGAGATACTAAACCCTTTTCAATCTCCTTAGTATTAGGAAAACATCTTTGGATGCTCACAGATTACTTTCTGCTATCCAGCAAGTGCAAGAAGAAACACAGGCTGGGTGGGTTAGTCAACTCGAAACTTTAGCTTTCCCTAAACGTTAAAAGATCCTTAGCAAAGTGTGTGTGTGTGTGCATGTGCATGCGTGTATTAAGTTTTGGGCTCGGTTTATTTTGATTTTCTTTTGGAGAAGGTTGGAGGGTGTTGGCTGTGTTCTATGTAATCAGGAAGTATAATAACATTGTGCACTGAAATGTATGAATTGCCTTTAATCTAGATTGTTTAGATATTGCTCAGCAGTGTGGATATGGTAACTTCAGCTCAGACTGTGCAAGCTTGCAGGGAATTTGGGGTGACATTTAAAGCAGACTGTCTGCATCACAGTGCATGGAGTTGTATCCTCATTGCACTGTTATTTAGGGTAGCAAGTTTGAAGATACTTTGTGCTTGTCCATAGGCCTGGCTATTGAACAAAGAAGGTTTAGATCCAGGCTGTAAAATTGGAAGAAGTTAATTGATGGGGCAAGATGGTAGCTCCCCATGACTTCACAAGGCTCTCAGATAAGAAACCACTGCATTGTTGCCTTTGGTATGCAACCTCTTGTTTAAATCAGCCACAAGTATGGTAAGTGTGGTACCAGTTTTGGAAAAAAAAGACACAATGGGACCAGGAAAAGTATCATCACTAAATTTAATTTTCATATTAGCCCGTCTGGAAGAAAAAAAAATGGATCAGAATTGATAGATAAGTCTATAAATATGACAGAATGGAAAAGAACCATTGTGAATTTTCCAAAGTGAAGTAACGGCTCTCCCAGAATACTCCGGGACTGTGTAGTAGTCCCCCTATGTGTGTAGTGACTATGTAAATAGGAGCAATTCGATTGACAGGATGTACTATGATCTTCCTTACAAGATCCTGTTCAGAAGGGGTGGTAGAATATGAGGGAAGATCTTTGTATTGAAGGGATTTGAGGCCCAGTTTTTACAGCAGTTACCAGCAGAGTCTCCCTGGACCTGTTACTCCCAGGAGTTATCAGCAGAGTCCTTCATAATGTTCTAATTATGAAGAATTAATGCGCTCATAAATGGTCTGGAAAGGGATTGAAAAATGAGGAGATAGTTTTGTGGTTGATTTCAAATTATCTAAGAGATTAAGTCTAAAAGTCTTTTTTTAATGTGTTACTGAGTAACTAAACAATAAATGAAGTAAATGTTGAAAAATGCAAAGAAGACAAGAGAAGTGCTTTACCTGTGCATGCATAGTGATGTGGTCTAAATTAGCTATTACTGTTCAGAAAGGTGGTTCTGAGAGGTGGTGTGAATGGTTCTCTGAGAATGTCAGCTCAGTTGTCAGCAGCAGTGAAAGAGTCAATAGAATTTCAGGAGTAGAACAACGTTTTATATTTTGTTCTCTATTATTTTGCTTTATAAATAAGAAGTGAAACTCTTTTGAAAGAGAAAACACAGCTGCATGCAGTATCTTCCCCTGTCTGTCTCTCTCTCCAAAGCCATCCAGACAAACACACCCACGTTCACCCCACCCCTAGCAAACACAAAACCCCAGATGGATATCTGGAAGCTAGGAGGTACGCGCTGAGGGAGGAATCGCAGCATTTTTGCCTTATTCTGGTACCTTCTTCCTGGGCATCTCTTGGTCCATGGACTGTTCAGCCCGGACTCCAGGCTAAACAGAGTGGTGGTCATAAAACTTGTCTGTAGACAGATGTCCAGATCAGTTACCACGGCACTATCTGCCTGTGCAGTGTGAGCTCTGTTTTGAGCAAAGTCAGGGCTAACTTAGACCATCAATTAAAAGTGTTTTGAAGTAGTCGTATGAACAGCTCTGTCAGCAGATCTGTGAGGATGGTAATTGCTGGTGAGAAGAGGGTCAGTGAGGAGCAGTATCCATGACAGACAGCTGGTCTCAGAGAAGGCTTTGGAAAGGAAGAGAAAGCTTCCAGTTAGAGTCTGAGAGAACGTGTAAACTTGCTGAGCTTTTCCTGGATGGCACCTGCCTGCCTACAGCAGTGAATGCACTTATGGCTACCATTTCCAAGCGTAAAGACCATTCATGAGTGTGGCAGTACTGGATTTGACGACAGCTCCACATAAGCTCTCCTAGATCTTGCAGCAGCCAGTAGTAGAACCCTGTTTTCAGTAAGGATGTTTGTGTTTGGTAAGCTTCTGAAGAGGACTTTTACCAGAAGTGGTTTAAGTTTATATTTGTGTAAGTAACCACATACAGAGTATATATCAATGAATGGAAGGTTGTGATTTAAGAGGATTTGAGTGTTCCTGTCAATATTTTCAAATTTTAGCTGAGTAAAGTTGTTCATATTCACCAGCAGTAGCAGTAGAACCGATGAGATGATGAGTTGAACCTGTTGCTTTCTGGCTTTGCCATCTAAGCTTGAGCTGAGTGTAGAATGGTGAGCAGATAGTTTACACAAATAGAGTCTTAATAGTTTGCTGGTTTAGATAGAACTGTGGAAACTAGGCTAGATTAACAAAGGCTAATGCTGATAGCAAAATAGTTAAGAATTTGAATTTTGGTGTTTTAGCGTTGCTTGTTTAACAGGACTGTACCAGAAATCAGAGGGGTGAGGTCTATAGCTAGTAATAAGAACAGCATCCAACTGCTTTGGAGATAGAGTAAGCAATTTGAATGTTATTTTACAAGTAGTGAATAAGCCAAATGATACTAGTAGAAAGTTTTGCTTTTCCTTTTGCCACAAAGAACATTATGACTGTCATAGCTGATCTGCTGAGGTCAGTTTTAGATGTGCCTGAAGACAAATGAACTGAATAACTTACAGTTTGCAAAGTGACACTGCTGCAATTCACTATTATTTAGAGGCTTCAGGAAGAAATTATTTGAGTTAAAGACTCAGTCCTTCACTTCCAAGTCAGTACAAATTTGTCCATTGCTTTCAGTGAGCGCAGGGTCAAGCCCAGATTCCTAAACTGTCTTTCTAGGGTTTCAAAATTATTTGTAGGCTCACTAGCCAACATCCTCATTCAATTTTCGTTTGTATTCCCTTTCAAACACACACAGACACATCCATGTGCACAGGAAATCCTGTTTGGGGGTCCTGCCTGGAGTCTCCTTATGCCACTATTATTAGTGCAATCAGTTGGTAAGTTATCTAAATCTGTTCTGGGCACATCCACTCCTTTTTTCTGCCCTCTGGTGGGTTGGTTTACAGTACTATGTCTTCCACTTCCAGCTGCTGTTTTCAGTCAGTTCAGCAGCAATGCATTTCTCACCGTCACTAAAGTGATGCCTGTGAGCTGGAGTAAATTTACTCTACTGACCATTTGCCCAAAATAACTACGTCAGTTGAGCCTCTGTTTTAATACATCTGTTATTTTGCTTTGCCTGTCGTCCTGGCCTCCCAACACAACACTTATGACTTATGGACACTTTGGTTTAGTGACCACAGTGTTTAATTGGGGGTCTGAGGAGGCACCATAAAGCTGTTAGTCCACTAGAAGGGGGACAATGTCACATGGAGATTCACAATCAAGCTGTCAGTTCTTTAAAAAGATTACAAACTGGTTGGTTGTTTTGTGGTTCAGACTTACAACTGAGTAAACCGTTTTTTTTCCCCAGAGATTCTTCTACTCCGAGTGCATCTTGAAAGAACATCCTTGTCCAGGAAACAGCTTTGTATGAAGTGTAGTGCTTGAAAGTTCATATTTTTATGAATTATAAGTGAATTATTTGCAGTAATTTTTAATCAAATATGCTCCATTTGCAAGTCGGTTTCCCTCTGCTCTTCTTTCCTATAGTTACTCTTGTTCTTCTCTCAAATTCTCAAATTTAAAATCCAAGTCCAAAACTGCATGCAGACTGCACATAATGCCCAGTGGTAGGGGGTCAACCTCTGCCTTCCTTTAGTGTGGGCTTCATTGCCTTCTAAAATAACAGTTATCTGTTTTTATTGTATCTACGCTCATGCTTTCTTAGCTGTGTTGGCCCTTGCACAGGCATGGAAAAAATAATGCAGATAGAACTTCTTACTGAACTTAGCAACTATGGCTGTCAGCACATACAAGCCAAGATTTAAAAATATGAGTAGTGATTTTGGGGGTTTCAAGTGGATGTTGTTAAGTGGCCTGTCTGACAGTCAACAAAAGGGATTAATTTATATGGGTATCAGCTGTATCGAGGGGTTTCAGTCAGTGACCTTAGAAGTCCTTTCCACTCTTACATACTGGATTGGAACCTGGAGAAACTGCCTTCAGAGTGCTAATTGCCAGAAAGCACTGGCAGTCGTTTTAATTCCTATTCAGAGGGAGTAGGGGTGTGGAGTGGAAGTGTACCAGCTTTTATGTGGTCACCTTCAAAAGTGGAATTGCCGGTTAAATCATCATGTTGTTTTTTTTCCTGGAACTGTTATGAAGCTGTGTGTATCTTTCTTTAAAATAAGAAGTGTGATGCTGCCATATCAGCGTGTCAGACATCCAGAATGCCATGCTGACAGGCCGTCATTTTCTGCTTTTCTGGTAACGTGAATGGTATGAAACCTGAGAAGGTAAAAAGGAACTTTTCTTCCCTACCCATCGCCCACAAAAGTATGATGCTCCTACGTGTGTGAAGTCCTTAGATGGCAGCAGATGATTGCTAATGGAATACTCAGTCTTTCATCCCTGGATCACTAGTTCAAGTGCAGGTCAGGTCAGTAGCAGTAAAGTCACTACTATCTGGCTGTTGTTGTCGTCTAGCTTGTGAGATGAGTTGAAGTGCATGTCTGAATTTTGAACCCAGGCAACCATATAATTGCCGTTTCCATATAGCAGATTGTAAATACTATAAACTTAATGTCAGTATCATAAGAAAATGAAAATACCAGCAAGTCTTCCACATGTCTGCAGATAACAGTGGCTGGTGTGAGCTGTCCTCAGGTTCCCTCTGGTGGTTGAGTGACGTGTGTGACTTCAGGCCCTGGAAGAGGCATTTGCAGACTTTAAACCCTGTAGGAGAGTTTTTATCCTCTCTGAGGAACCTCTGTCATATTTAAGTGATGATCAGTACTTATGGTTTTATTATGCTGGCCATCATCAAATTTCTGGGCATTAAGTGAAGATTTTCTGTTATTCGTTGCCATATGTACCCTCAGAGTGGAGATACTCAAGTTTCTTTGCTTCATAAAGCACAAGAGCTTACTGTTGCAGACTGCATCTGTTGAGATTCAATCCTTTATCAAAACACAGAATTGTAATACAAGCTGGGAAAGAAGCCTGGAGTAAAGCAAGGTCGCTGGTTATTTCTATTATGCTGCAGTAAGGGAAGGGATCGTTATGAATTAATATTTTCTTTAGAAATGTCATGCTTTCAGTATAAGAAAAAGTTCTTGCTTGTGTGTCTGTATTCAGCTGATGAAAACGGGCTTTTGTTGTTGCTGCTGAGAAAGAGATCATGCTGCTGGAAGTCACTGACAGTGGGTGTTGTCACCCCTCAGGACTGGCTGGTACAGCAGGTGAACCAAGAATTGAATGGAAACTGGATTATGTTCCTCTCAAGAGGTAGTCTTTCCAGGTCAAGTTAAAATATCTTTTGGTGCTTGTTTTGTCGCTTAGGATGTTCAGGCAGTTACTGCCCACTGGGTAAATAGAGGGCTTAGTTTTCTGAATCTGGCCTCTGTCATCCTCACCTCTCCCCCAGATATACATTAGAGATTTCAGGCATTCCCTGGGTGCAGTGGTTGCTGCCAATGCTTGTTTAGTATCAAGTGACTCATTAAGCATATGCATGTACTTGGAGTGAAAATAAGAGGCAGCTTTAGCTACTGCTGATGCATTTACTTTCTTACTTGAACTTTATTCTCTAAGTGACTGTTTGGTACCGGAATACAGGAAATCCAGCATCTCCAGATGGGAGAAGTATCCAGAAGATCCCGTCCTTGCCCAGTCTATGCTTGCAATTGAATCTTGTGAAATGTCTTGACACAACATGCGTGTTTGGTCTCAACTTTTTCAGTTGGCCTGGAAAGAACTGAGCAAGATTTAACTCAGTCTTGTCACTATGGGATAATTATGTTTTTCATGAATCTAGAGATAAAAACACTAGCCATGTAGTTACTATGCCTTTGCCTGGCTTCTCTCTGGGTCCACTTGTTTCTGGACAAGCATTTTAGCTGATGTTTCTTGATCAAGGCTCATATTTAAGCAAAAAAAGTAAGTCATCCTTACACTGGAATAAGAATGTATGCAAACACTATGGAAGGCTTGATCTTCAAAGGGAAGCTGTATTAGTTAATAAGTTCATTTCACTGGTCACAGAGTGGAGTTAGCAAGAGGGGGATAATGCTGGTATAACTGTACTTGCTGTACTAACTTTCCTTTCATGGGAGGAAAGGCCACAGGTTCAAGATGGATGGGAGCCATAGCATGTTTCAGCCAGGTCTGTGATCTGGAAGATACGGGGGTTGAAACAGCAGTGCATTACTCCTGCCATTTCAGTGTGGGTAGTGTGAACTGGTCTCCATATTGTATAGCATTCCAAGATCCTGGGTAAAAGACACAGCAATATTGCATCCTGATTTTTGTCCAAAATGAGCAGAATTTTGTTAGCTGCTTCCCAGAGTGTGATGTCTGCAAATGTGCACTGCTTGGAGGGGGGCCAAATCAACTGCAAGTGTGACTGGGGATGAGATTAAGATGAAAATTTTGGTCCTCAGAATTTTCTCTTTCAGGATGGCCACATTTTAGTTTAGATCAGGATTTTACAAACCTCTCTAGCCAGAAGAAACTCCTGACAGTGTCAACTTGTAGGCTGATGCCAGGCAAGCAGTGCTTCCACAATTTAGGAACCTTTATTTTGGGACAATCTCCTAACATTCCCCATCTTGTTTTCCAGATCTAGAGACGAACAGTGATCTCAACAGTGATGACTTTGAATATGAAGATGAAGCAAAACTTGTTATATTTCCTGATCATTATGAAATCTCATTACCCAATATAGAAGAGTTACCTGCACTGGTCAGTGAGTGTATGCAAATGGTGATAGGAATTGTCTCCTGTTTCAGATTTTATCAAGCTGATGCTTTGTTTTCTTACGTATGGTGTTTGTTTTTACATAAAGATCTTTCTTAACCAGCTATAATAGAGAATCAGTAATTTTGAAAGTCTGGTTTGTCTTTGCTTCTTGGATTTTATTTTTTTACCTCCTCTATTCCCTCCCTTATTATGATGCCAGCTTGTCCCAGGGAAGCTTGCGTAGTACAGGTGCTTGCTCTCCTACTAAAATAATAACTGCAATCTAGAAAATTACATACATATTTAAGTATATAAATAGTCTTACTGATGTCCAGTTCTGCACATTGTTAGCAAAGGGCTGAATACCAAGTTCTGCCCAGTCACTGAGTTGTTAGGTTTTGATTGACATATGTTTGTCTTCCAGGTGACGATAGCTTGTGATGCACTTCTCAGTGCAAAATCACCCTACAGGAAGCAAGAGCCTGACTCCTGGGAAGAAGAGCTACAGGCATCTAAACATGCCAAAGCACTTGTACAGTTAGACAATGGTGTTAGAATTCCCCCCAGGTGAGGGTAATACGGTTTGTTCATTGTAGGCTCTCTAATACAGTCCAGAGTACCAGAACTAAAGCCATAAACTTGGCCAACAGTTCTCTTGCATGACTGCAGGCTGGGTGTGTGTGTTTGGTTTGACCTACCTTGGAAATACAGGACTGGTTCCTGCCTTATTTCTGTTGTTTTTTCCTGTTTTCTCTTGCAGCGGTTGGAAATGCTCAAAATGTGACCTGCGAGAGAATCTGTGGCTAAACCTGACAGATGGTTCTGTGCTGTGTGGAAAGTGGTTCTTTGATGGCAGTGGGGGGAACGGGCATGCGATGGAGCACTACAAGGAGACGGGTTATCCCCTGGCAGTGAAGCTGGGAACCATCACTCCTGATGGAGCAGGTCAGCCACCTGGCAGGTTCTGAGATGGGCTACCTGTTGTGCCTAAGACTAACAGTATATGTCCATTACCAAGTGAGTCTGTGCTTCTAGTGCAAATGTCTGAGTGTATGATACGGAAAGGAAACCCTGTGAGTCTGTGAATCTTGGTCAGAGTTGGAGGGAACGGCACACACTCCATTTGGAGAAAGCTCTTACCTTTTTTATCTGCTCTTCTCCTGTTTTACATTTGGTGTAAATCGTTTTTTGGCTTTGTATAATAGTAGATTTATAATAGAAGAATGATATTATTTTGAAACAGCAGAATCTGGAGAAACAGTATTTTTCAGTTTGCTAGGGCAAATTGTTCAGTCTTATGTAACACAGAAACAATAACAGGGTAATGACTTTTACAGTCAGAAAAGTCCATTTGTAACAGTGTGGGGTTTTTAATCATACTGGAAACTGTGCTATTTTTCCATATTGTTTTGGTAGTATCGTGTTAAATTTAACAAACGCTCGTTTTCATGGGGCTGCAGTGATGCTTATTTGTAAAATGCCTGATGATCTTGGGGCTGGGGAAGCTATAGATCTATTCTTGTTTGCCTATTTTCAGAGTGTGATGTTCTGCAGTGTTGCTGTGGCAAGGTTTATGGTGTGTGAGGATTAGATGAAATAAAACCATGAAAAGCTTAAAAAGTCATAAAAAAGGAGATCCTTTTCTGCAGCTGTACGGAGAAATAATAAATGGAAGAACACATAGTATGATTATATTGTGGTTTTAATGCTTATGACCATATGGATGAAAAAGAGCAGTTTAGAGTAGCCTGTTTTATAAACAGAACAAAACAGTTGAGAGGTTTTCCTTTTTAAGTCCTATTCAGTGTCAGGAAAAGGAGGCTATAGTCAGATTCAACCAGCTGTTCCACAGAGACATTGAGCAAAATTCATTCTTTTCTTTCCCAAACAGAATGTTGTTTCTTGCATGAGCCTCGTCTTGGATGATTTCTATCTGAATCTCTGTTACTGAAGGTGTTTAGGATTTGCCCAGCTGTGGGTTTCAACTGCATCTACGAAATTACAGAACATTTTTTAGTGGTTTTTCTTTTTTTTTTTTTTTTTGTTCTTATTTTTAACAGCAGTACTTGTTTCCTTATGGCTGTTGTCCTTCTGCCTCCCACCGATTAGCTGCTTCCTCTCTTACGTGGCCTTTGGCATAACAAAGGACAGGCTGTCATCCTTCCTTCCGAATGAGGGGCACCAGCTGTTCTCCACAGACCTTTGTTCTTCTGGATGATGTTTACTTGGTTTCCCTATAGAAAATACTTCCCCAGTCCTCCTTCTTTCCTTTTCAGTAATTATTCTCTCTCTGATCTGTATTGCAGTGGTAGTCATAACCTCTTGATAGGGCTGGATGACAGATGAGCTTCAGGAAAGAGGCTCCGTGGCTGATTGTGACGCAAAGGCTGTCTGGTTTCTGCTTCCCTGGGCTGGAGGTGAAGAGGTGATGGAAGAGGAGTAATAAGTGTTAGTCCCTCTGCTGACATAACTTATTCCTTTTTCACACCAGTAAGAAGGAGAAAGAGGTGGTGCCAGTATTCCACTTACACTTACCCTATGTGTACACAGAGGGAGCAGAGCAGAAAAGATTCTCCTTGAGAAATCTGTGTTGTATACATTATGAAAGATTTCTGGGTCATTAGCCCCATTTTGTAATGTTCTGTGAACAAGCAGATCTGGGGTCAGGGTGGCAATTAAACCAAACTTCTGTCTTCTGCTCTTGGATCTTGGACAGGATGCACGAGAGACTCAGAAAAGTTTGCTTCAACAGGTTGAGTACTACTCAGCAGACTGTGCTACCTGCTGCCTCTCTCTCGACAATGCCATTAGATTTCGTTTCAAGTCATTGTGAGGTTGTGTGTTTAGTTTAAGGAATGGATGAGGGGTTTGACAGTGGGAAGCCCTCTGAGAGGTACTTGAGTGATTTGCTTTGTGGATGCCAATCTCATTAATTGTCAGATACTTCCTTGGGGAGATCCTGAGCTACTTGTTTCTTCAGGAACAGCGTTGCTGTTGCCTGTTACCCTTTAAGTAGGAAGGAGTGATGTCTACACAGCCAGAACAGGTGTAGAGCTGTGGAAGAAAAGGAGGTACAGGTAGCATTGTCATTTTTCATACCGTAATAATGATTATTCTCTGTTTAATAAGATTCTGTGTTGTCTGGTTTGGATTTTTCTTGGTTCTTTTTGGTTTTTTTCCCCTCTTATGTTGCTTCCTTTTTCCTCTTTCCTGCTCTAATGATACCAGCTTCTGTGTGTCACGTTTGCTGACTTGTCTATGTTCCTTATCTACCAGAGTCCATATGACAGCACTACAGACCTGTGTTTGGGGGCTCTCATCTTCTCCTTAAATTTGCCGCTCTTTGATTTTTATTTTTTTAAATAAGTGAATTCTGTCTCTCTTACATGAATTTAAGTTGGCTACACAGCAGAAAGTACTAAAGTATATGACACAAGCTGGGCTTGAGCAAAAGATTAATGTGTTATGTTCTATTTCTGCTGCTCTGGGTCAGTAGTCCCAGATGGCTGCTCTCTCTTCAGTTGCCAGAGCTGAGGAAAAACAAAATCAAACTTCCACATTGAAAGTAGTCATCCAAGCTCAGTTGATGGGTAATCTCACTCCATTAGGTGTTTGAACTTTTCAGGATCTTCAGGCTGCACTGTGACCTCACCAGAAGACTATGAGAATGCTGTGATCTCTTGTGTGTATGAACAGTCGTGTCTTCTGGGCATGATTGGTACTACACAGGGAATTCCAGCAGATGGGCAGCTACAGCCTCATGCATGCCAGCGAGGTCATCAGGACCAGTGTTAATTCTGATGGATAATGTAAAGTCTAATGGCTAATCAGCAGCTGGCAGCAAAACTCAAAAACATAATTCCCTGGCTTGAGAGAGTTAATATTTTTCATAGGGCTGGTAAATTTTAGAAGTTGCTTTACGTCTTTGAGTTCTTGGCTAATCTTCAACCTATCATTTCAGTGTGGGTTTGGTACCAGCAGACTTCAGTGGACTGCCTTTTTGTTAGAGTCTTATCTAGGGGATGGGCTGAGTCAGAGCCAGGGTCTGCAGTTGTCAGGAGAGGGCAAGGTGAGGAACTTTCAGAAGTGGTATTTGTGCTGTGAACAACCTTTGTCTGGGTTCATGCTCTCTTCTCCAGAGTTTGTTTCATCTTTCTCCTGGCTAAGTTTTTCTCTGTCAGCCTCGAGCTGCTAATACGGGGTGAGGTCATTGTGGGAAACTTGGCTGAGAGAAGTGCAGGCAGACTGGCAGAGGGATTCTGGGTTTTGGTATGAGTAGAGACCAAAGCAGGGCAGTAGTCATGCACTACAGAGGAAGAGGCCAGAGACAAGAAAAGATGAAAGACCTGTTCAAGTCTTACTAGTGCATGTCTTATCACTCAGGTCCTTTTATGATGCTTGAAGCTTTATAGTTATTTGCTCAAATAGGCAAAACCAGCTCTGGACTCAGCTTCATTACAGGACGTGGTTGGCAAACGCTAAAACTGAGTTTTTCCTCTCTCAATCATTTTGTCCTTCTGTTGAACTTATTAAACTCAATTTCCTAAAGAAAATATCATCACTAGACATAGTGCTTCCCTCCACAGTTTGAACTTTACCTGGACAGAATGCTTATGGGCTTTTAATTAGTGCCATAAGGACCTATCATACAGCTAGAACTGAAATCTAGATCTCCCATACATGACCTCAGTCACAAAATCAGCCTTTCTCCCTAGCCACAAGATTAATCTTTGAAGTCCAGTCCAATGGAGTCCAATCTAATAAACACCTCTTTATTTCTAATAAAGAATTTCTCAGTTCTCCTTGCACCCCTGTGGGAAAAGGGCAGATGTGGATTCCTTAAACTACACTAGAAATCAAAATATCATTGACAGTAGTCAGTTGGCCCCATATGTGTCTGCCTGTATCTAGTAGCTCCACAAAAATTCAGAATCTCTTGTTGCCATGTTTAAAATGTGGATTGGCCACATATCTGCAAATTTTTCTTGCCCTATTCCTTGTTTTCCCTACAAATTTATTATTTTGGGGGGCAAAATAGTATGATCACTATAAATATTCTTAGGATTTAATACTTTTGAGGAGAGTAGTTGAGGTAATTGTGTTTAGAACATTTAAAATACTTACTGAGCCATATGGATGTCTATGCATTTTTCTGCTGGTTGTAGCCAAACTTGAAGAATATGATTAAGGCATCTTGTGTAGGCAATCCTGTCCTGAGAATGCAGTGTTGGTAAACAAAGAGAAGGGATAACATTTGATACTACAGCTTATTGGTTTCTCTCTGCTTTTGTAGATGTCTATTCCTTTGATGAAGAGGAGCCAGTTTTAGATCCACATATAGCAAAACACTTGGCACACTTTGGAATTGATATGCTGCAGATGCAAGTGGTAGGAAATCCATCTTTTATTTAGTTTGTTGTTTACTTGTTGTTTGTCTAGTTGGGGGTGGGAGAGAAACAGGAGGAGAATGATGCTTGTAGCTTATATTTGTGTGATTCCTTCAGACTGTTATGATAGTATTTAGTTTTGTAAAGTTCAGCCAGGCAATTTGTGTGTTATTTTCTGAAGTCCAAGATGAGTGAATCATTACTCTCAAATCCAAAAGTTGCCTTCCAAAAGAGTTCCTTTGTGGTGTTTTGTTTACATGTTTCACTTCTCATGTGTTATGTACTGTTTTCCTTCAAGATGAAAAACTCATGCAATTAGAGAAGACTATCTAGACTATTTAATTACAGTGAGCGAAGGAAAGCCTATTGCATGTGTAAATAGATATGAATCTTAAGCAAAAGTAAGCTAAGCAATGGATAAGTAAAAAGGTTGTTGAAAGGATCTTTATGTAAAGTTAAAAATTTCAGTTTAGGTCTTGTTCATAAATACATTACCAAATGAAAAATTACATTCTCTCAAGTCTAGAAAACAGTGTGGTCTATGGCATGGTACCTTAGAAAGGGACTGGGGCAAAAAGGGTCCTTCTGTTCCTGAACGTGTTGTGGGTCTGTATTAGTAGAGAAGTCCTTTTATTAATTTGTGTCTTAGTGGATGTTGATTCCAGTTCTGTTTAAATGATCTAAGAAGTCTGAATGGGATATGGTTATAACAGCAGGTGGGTTTTTTTTTCTCACTCAAGCCTAGTATCACTACCTCAGAACCGGTACATGAAAACTGTTAAAAATTAACATACCTGATACTGGTTTAGTCTTATTACATTGTCCAAGTGCAGAGAAAACTAATAGTAAGTCTAAAATGATAGGGAAGAGTTAAACTGCAGTTTCAGAGGCCTTCATGGTATTAATAATATTTTTGGCGTACTAATTTCCTTGACAGTATCATGAATAAAATGTCTATTTTATCCAGCAGTCTTTCTGGAAAACCTGTTTTACTTGGCAACCTTGAAAGCTTAGTCTCATCTGTTGCAAAGGTTTTGCCTCCAGTCTTCAGACCAGTCTGAAAAATTCTTAGTGAAGTGATGGAGTAGGGCTAGTAGCCGTAAATGACACTGTAGTGATCTGTACCTGCAAGCTGTGAACAGTCAATATATCTGCAAGTGGAAAGCTGAGTTGTAAAGGGGAGAAACATTAGCATCAAAAATTTTGGCTTTTCCCATTTTAAAAAAGGGAAGAGTTCTTGGATCTGCAGCTTTTCATGTTGTTTGTTTGGTAGGACCAGCTCCTACAGCAGCAGCTATTCCTGGCCGTTACAAATGGAATATGAAACCTGAAAAAATGCGGTATTTTGATGCTGAGGCTTGAGGTCACAGCCCTGAGAGATGTGAAGCTCCCAGCTGGGGCTGAGATCATAAGTAGGAACACTCAAAGTGCCAGTGGTCTGTGGTAAAGAGCTAAGATATGTACTGGAAGATGCTAACCTTCTGATCTTCTCCCCTACATGCAGGATTTACCCTCCTTTGCCCGTTGGTTTGGATCTTATTTTCTAGGGTATAGATCACAAAGTTGGTGATGATGATGGCAGCAGCAGCATTGTTGCAGAAGTTAAACATAAAAAAAAAATAAAAAAATCTTGTTGCTTTCAGACAGAGAATGGGCTAAGAGATAATGATATAAAACCAAGAGTCTCTGAATGGGAAGTGATTCAGGAAGCTGGTGTGAAACTCAAGCCCATGTATGGCCCAGGATACACGGGCATGAAGAACCTGGGAAATAGCTGCTACCTCAATGCTGTCATGCAGGCCATCTTCAGCATCCCAGAGTTCCAGCGCACGTAAGTAGCTTCAACCTAGTTCTTGTCACTAGCTGCTGCTGCATTCTTCAATCTGTTGTTTCTCTAAGAAAGGTGGTATTTTAATTTTTGTCTCACTTGCAAACAAGCCTCTTTCAGTCAGTTCAGTGGCTGCTTAGAGGATATAGTGGTTGTATTGTTCTGCTCTGGAAGAGGTTCGAAGGCAAAACCCAATCTGCCTTTGAAATCAGAACTTCAGTGGTGGGAAGTCATATGCCACCTTATAACATTTATTGCTTGATCTCTGCTTTTTATACATATATGTACATAGCTCTGTTTATCTTGGTATCATCAATATCACATTAGATTTCTTTGTACTGACCCGTGCCTTCGTATAGCTGCAGGAGTCATTCTATTGCTCCAGTGTCATTTGTGCAAAAACTGTACTGGTACAAACATATTAATATTGATCCATGCTGGTGAAAAGCAGTGCACCTTTTGCATGCAGGCCTGGCTAAAAGAGGGAAACTATCAGAGGCTTTTTTGAATTAAAGTTCAATTACCCCCCCCCCCCCCCTTATTTCATTAAAAGGGTAGTGTGAGCATATTCTTCCACTGAATAATTAAGAGAGTAAAAGGACAAAAGCACAACAGAAGAATATGACTGATAAAAACTGAACACATCACTCCAAGGAGAAGAGCCTTTTTATAAAGGACAGTCTGTGGTTTGCAATAAAATTCAGAGTGCTCTTTGATTCCACAGCAGTAGCAGTGTGTGTGCTGGAAGTAAGGCGTTTGGATTTTGGACAGCCTCCCAGGTTTTCATGTAGCAGTTGCCTTCTGGAGAAGAAGAGGGAGAAAACTTGTGTTTGTTTACTTCGTTAGCCATATGGAGTACAGTCTGTAGATTCATTAAATGCCAGCTTTTCTACCTCCATTTTTGAAAAATATCAAAATGGACTTTACTAAGGGAGATTGTTTTTCACAGCATGGTCTGTGAAGCTCTGAAGCACTTAGTATCAACAAAATAGTGGAGATGTTTGATGAAAGAGGGACCAGGCAGAAATTAGATGTGTTTTTTTCAACATGGCCATACCTACCTAGCCTGTTTTTTCTTGTGCTCATGGAAAGCAGTGTTCATGTACTGTTCTACTTCATGTTTCACTTTCCAAGAAACTGGCTAGAACAATCTATACCTCAGTGTTTATTGTCAGGAGTTAGCCTTTGTTTCTCTGAAGAAACTCAATAGAAACATTCTTTTTACATGTTTTGGTCCTGATACAAATTTGGAATTTATTTGGTGATGTTGGTTAGGAGTAGCAAGTACATTGGTTCTCAACACAGCTCTGTGATTTTTGAGTAACACCATCCTGCATCTATTTGAAGATCAAGTAATAGAATTTAAATTCCACATGAACACCACCACCATATCCTTCATAGCTAGAAGCTTCTATGAAAAATTTAAATGTCTGTTTCCTAATTTCTCTACTATTATTTTTCCATGATAGAAGCACACACTGGGGATAGATTAAGTCATTGCTATGATGCAAAATCTGTCGTCTTAGCACAGAGGAAGCCTGCTGATGTATCACAGGTGATATCTGTTGGGATATCCTTGAGTAAATCTAGCTGCAATATGTGAATATTTATTCTTTGTTCTTGCTGCCCAGGTATGTGGGAAACCTTCCACGAATATTTGACTACTCTCCTCTTGATCCAACACAAGATTTCAACACTCAGATGTAAGTGACACTTCTTATTGATTTACTTGGTCAAGTTAAATCGAGTCTAAATAACTTAATGGCAGGGCAAAAGAACACCACTGCCTGGGCTGGAAAGTGGGATATGGCACAAGGTAGAATGGAAAGATTTGCCTCCTAAGTTGCAGCTGATGGTGTTTCATCAGGGGATCAAAGACAGTAAACTTTTTTGCTTGGAATACAAATTTTCTTTTTTTTTCCTGTGTTTCTCACATGTTTGTTTCCACACCACTACTTTCTTCCCTACAGGGCTAAACTGGGACACGGCCTCCTTTCAGGCCAGTACTCTAAGCCACCCATGAAATCTGAGCTTATTGAGCAGGTGATGAAAGAAGAACACAAGGTATTTGACTGAGTTTGTGCAGCCTGGTAACTAGGTAAAAGTGATATCCTGAGAAAAGGGAACAGGTGCTGGGCATTGAAGAACACGTGTGGATCCAGCATGGGATGCTTAGCAAGGTGGAATGTGCAGGATTCTAGTCAGGAGTATATTAGTCAGGGGCTATTTGTGCAAAGCATTAAAGCAACCATTGGTTCTGCTAGTCAAGTATTCTGATGCTCCAGTGATGACTGCAAAAGTTCATAGAACTTGCAACTTATCTTTATCTTCTCTGACGAAAAAAAAAAAAAAGTTACCTAGAGAGTCCTGAGTATTTGGAAGCAAACTTCTAAACCCTCTTTAAATTTTGAAGTAGTATAAATAGCTAAAGAATTTTTCCGTTCCCTCTCTCTAGGCATACAAATCTGTTTTGTCAGTTTGGGAATGCTTTTTTTGTTTGGTGGCTTACCCCTGGTTCCCTCCGCCCCAGTAATACTGGTATACACACAGATAGTATTTTGTCATCCAGAGACTTGTACTGACATTTATAATAAGTGTAATTGCATAGGATTCTAGGCCTTCAGTGTTTCCAGGAAGTGTCTGACAATATCCCACCTGATTTCAGAAGAAGCTGTCTAGGTAATGCAAGATTAAGCGATGCTGGAGACTTTCCTGTAGATGAAGGAGAGGCTGTGCAGAGCTGTCTCCACTGGGCCTTTATTCAAGTATTTCACAGTACAGAAATCATGTGGAAGCATGTCTGTGCCAGTGGGGTCTATCCTGGAAACACAACAGTATATATGGTTTTGGATATAAATTGAAACTCTAATTGTTTAGCAACCTGGGGAGAACGATGTCTGTATCATGATTTATAATAATTCACAATAGCAAAAAATCCCATGGAATCATCTTTCTCAGAAAAGGCAGTTTCAGAACAAAGGTATACTGAGGGGCAAGTACTGTAAACTAACATGCTAGACACAAATGAGAGAGGAATTAGAGGATAAAATAATCTTTTTCCCCATGTTTATATAATACAGAGATTTATTTCTCTGTTATAGTGTTATCGGTGGGAGACAGTCCTTTTATTTTTACTGTAATTTGCAGTAAATTTGCAGCAAAACAGATACTGAGCTCACAATATCTAGCTAGTATCTAGCTTCGAGATCTCCAGTATTGGTTCTGTAATCTTCATATTGCCTTTGTGTTGTTCTTCTGCAACATCGGAGTTGCTTGTTTGTCTTAACACTGCAAAAATCGTTAAGGCATGTGTTGGCATCGTAACATCCATAGACCTATGTCTTCATCTGTCTGTGCTTTTTCCTCATCCAACATTGACTCTCACAATCATCAGAAAGCCTCTTATTCTTTGTCCAACAGTCTTTTGGTTTTAGCAGTGAGGATGATTTTTGATGAAGGTCTCACTGATCAGTTTGTATTAACGAGGTTAATGGGCACTGCCTGATTCACTGGTTTACCTTTTTACCTGTTCTTGATTGATTTTGTGAAAGCAAGCTCATGGTAGCTTAGTGGTGAGATGGAAAAGTTTTCTTCTCTTTTTGTAAGTGGGTTTAAGTTTCCATCAGCTTTTGGAGAGTGAGAAGATTAGTTTAGATTTTGCCTTTCTCCTGCTGCTTTTGTAATACCCTTTGTTTTCTCTAGAGTTATCCAATTAACAATTGTCTTAAGCAAAACATTAGTTGTTTGGGCAATGTTATCTACTCAAGTGAATCTGTTATTTTAGGTTTGTTTTACTATTCAAACTGTCTACCTTGAAACATCTTGTTTAGAGTGATGCTGGGAAAACTGACCTAGAATATATTTGTGTCCCTGCCAGCCTCTGTTATTGTGACCCTGAGCAGCATGTGGAGTGAAACCACAGACTCCACAAATGGGTATTTAGAAATGAAAGGTCAGCTAATAACCAATACTGAAAATACTATCTTAGAAAAGAGCTGTCTTTATGGGGGAAGGATCTCTGATATCAAGTTGTAGTTTTATACACAGCAGAACCCATGTGTGCTTCTGTCACAGAAGTGTAGTGATAGTTTCCATGGAAATACATATTTTCCTCTACCTTCATCTATCAGTTATTGATATAGGAATTTCTGCTTCTGAAATTAGAATGCCAGGGAGATTTTGGACAAAGATAGAGCATCTGGTACAGAGTAGTTTCCGTGATCTGAAAGTCCTACGTCTCACAAGTAATTGCTTTCTACAGTAGCTGTTCATTGTTTTGGCACAATGAATGAATCCTGCTTGTTGCCTTTAAGTAAAATTTTAAACTTATGTGTATCACTGTGACTAAGGAACACTGGAATAGATTTCAACAGACTCCTCACATTAAATTACCTATAATGACTGACCTGCTTTCTTAAATGCATACAGGATATGAATGAAGAATAATGTGCTGGAACTTCAGGGACTTCTCTGAACCCTTCAAATAAAGCTACACCTCCACGTTCAGCCCAGCAGCCACTGCTAACAATGAGATATTGAGAACTTTGTAGTGACAGATGGTATAAAAATTGTCAGGGACTAGTAGCCATCTGCTGGCATTTAACAATATTTGTGTTGTTCATCAGCTCAGATTAATAAAGTTGGTAGTTGCATGCATGAAAAGATTTCCTTATCAAGCAATTCATAGCATGCCTTAGGATTTGAAACAGCTTTCACTGCTTTTGTTCTTTGTTGTACTGAAGATTTATTTAGAAAAAAATAAATCAGGTATAGCTATTTTTTCCGTTCCCTCTCTCTAGGCATACAAATCTGTTTTGTCAGTTTGGGAATGCTTTTTTTGTTTGGTGGCTTACCCCTGGTTCCCTCCGCCCCAGTAATACTGGTATACACACAGATAGTATTTTGTCATCCAGAGACTTGTACTGACATTTATAATAATTGTAATTGCATAGGATTCTAGGCCTTCAGTGTTTTCAAGTGCTTCTGTTTTGTGTCTATAAAGTCATTTTTTCATTTTATTTTTATTCTTTTACTTTTTTTCCCCTCCTACATGCAAAGAAGTTCTCTAGCTTTCTTGGTCTTTGGAACTCATCCAGAGTTTTGGGGAGTTGTTGCCTGTAAAAGCACTCATATGAGATCTGCAGTGGTCCAGCACAGTCTATATTTAGCTAAACTCCTTTGCAACTGTTGATGGGTAAAGTATGCTAGGTATTCTATAAATATTCATGGTGCTGTGGAGCTAAAGTTTTTCACCACAGGGGTTTAGTCTGGAAATGGCAGCAGTTTTCTTGGGCCCACTTTAAAACCAGGCTGAAAGCCTAAAGGGTCATCAGCTAGGACTTGATTTTTGGTTTAGAGCTTCGCCATTTTTTCTGTTATTTTTCTTGTCCTTGGGGTGAAAGAGGTTTAGAAGGCAGGATCTGATCGTCTTCTATAGACTGTCACACATGGCATGTTTCTCTTCTGCCAGATCAAATGGCTGAGTAAAAAGTGTATAGGTGGAAACAAGGCTTGATTTCAAACTCATTGCCTTATACATCAGGGCAAATGGGCCACTTTGCCATATTCTTGCTTCTGACACAGAAAGATGCCTGGTATATAGTAATTTGAGCTGTTTTATGCATTCCTCTCCCCAGTCCTAAATTTGATGAAAGGCAGCTGAGGACACTGAAGTGATATATAACCCAAGATTCAGAAATCCCTAGAACATCTCTTCAAGCAATACTGAGACTCTGTCTCTTTAAAAGAGCCTTTAAAGAGCATCTTAGCCTAATGTGGTTGCTGATGTACTGCCAGCTATTGAAAAAGCATTAAAACTGAGAATCTGCTTCTGGTTTCAATGAGTCTAGGAATACCTTGCTCTGAAACCAAGAATAAAATTTTGATCTTTTAGTCTCTGTTTAATGTGCCTTCCATTTCATGCTGCTTTTCCTGTTTCTACATTGGTATAATAGCACAACAGTAGTAAAGAATGAGATTGGCTCAGTTTTTAACAGCTTATGACATATCCTAAGGGCTACAGTTTTGCTTGGATTGTCTTGAAAATTATTTGGTCTCATGGAGGATGAGGGAAAATCTGAGTAAAAGATTCCAACCCTTTCAAAAGTGTTGTTTAAAAGGCATCAGAGTGTTGTCTTGAGGATCCAATTTGGGTTGGTTGGGAAGGCTTCTTGACTTTCTCACCCTCTATACCACTCTAAAACTAGGACTCTCTTGGAAGCTAGAGATTTCCTAATTTAGGGTAGTTTGCTATGGATGAAACTGAATGGCTAAAGGCAGTATGTGATGATCCTTCAATATGACCCACACCTGCAAATTGCAAATTCATGTCTGTTCTTAACAACCCACCTGGGAGCGCATGCTGCACACGTTAGTTGTTCTCTGCTTGATTCTGTAGAGATCTCTGGAAAGGTTTTGTCCTGAGGAAAGCTGCTAGCTGATAGACCAAAGTGCTTCAATGCCCACATACTTTTTGGCAGAACAGGGTTCTGAAAGGAATATCAAATGTTAGGAAACAGCGTAAGCTTTTAGCCTTTCCGAAACTACTAACTTTTAGCAAACCTTCAGTAATTTTCTTTTAACTTGCAAATACCGTAGAAAAATCAGATACAGTGAATGCTGTAGGAGCTATGTCATAAAACATTTTCTAAACCCCCCAAATTTGTATTGAAAACCAGATGAAATGGAAACTATCATTTCTTTAGTGGCAGAAATGGGCCATAGATAGATCTAGTGGAGTGACTTTGGGATATTTGGTCCAGGAATGAATAAAAATCCTTCCTTAAAAGGTTTTTCTTTCTTTTATTTAGCCTCAACACAATGGAATATCTCCCCGAATGTTTAAGGCTTTTATAAGTAAAGGCCACCCAGAATTTTCCTCTAATAGACAACAAGACGCACAGGAATTTTTCCTACATCTTATAAATCTAGTAGAGGTGAGAAAATCTGAATTACTGCTTCTTTTCCTTGGTTATATTATGATATTATGAGGGCAGAGCTGTTGTATGAGTGGCTCTTTTTTTTATTATACCCTTCTTAGCCTTGGATATGTAGAAAATAGCACTAATTAAAGTATATTTTGGTTTGGAAACATCTGTTTCTTTGATTCTCCCTTCTCTTTACTTCAGACTCTTGCATGACCATACACGGGGCCAGTGCTGCTGCTAACTGCAAGAGATATAGAGAGGTCATGCACCACTGTACAGGCTATAAGATTGATAAACATGTGACTGTCCTTTTAAATTGAAGTTGGTTTTATAATTACAGGCTATCTGTCTGTTTACCATATTGTACTCTGTCTTGGAATATTAATGAATTGGGTATTATGATTATTATTATTATTCCAAATTTATATCATTGTTGGGAGCAAACTAATTACCATGTCCAGTTCTTTTACAAACGCCAGCTGTACATCATTGAATCATTATGGGAGGAAGAACTCCCCTGCTGAAAGCAAATATTCAGTGGACTAATAGTCACTTTCTGTATAAGATGTTCCACTGAGTCCCAGCTCAGTGCTCTGTGTAAAAGAATCACTACTGTGAATTTTAATGCTGTCTTTCTGAAAAGGAAATTTACAAATACCTGCAGTTTTAGATTTAGAGTATTTCTTTCTTGCCCATCCTTCCTCCCTCTTTTTCCCATTTTTGACAAGATTGAGGGTGTTTATTCACGTGTTACAGTCTAGATAAAGTTATTCACATTTGAATGCATTATGTTCCATGTCCCAAAATGCATGTACTGATTATAGGGTGGTTAGAAGATGTTTTTCTGGTTTTTGCCTGATAACAGACATTAACATGAACAATAAAGAGGAGGCATGTTATTTGTATGACATTTCCATCTGGATAATGAGCTACAAGTTGCTTGTTCTGTTTCAGTGCAGGTTTGGAGTGGTAGGAGCAATTCTATTTGCTGAAAGGACGCTCTGTGTTAAATACCTGAGCTTTCTTTGTTTAGTGTAACCTACCACCTTCCTTCCTTCTTCTGTTCACCTTGACTCAGTCAGATTCATTAGGTACATCCTCTGCAAGTTGTTATGTGCAGAAAGATACTGTTGTGTATGCAGACATTGTAGACTTCAGTGGGATTCTCTGTGGGTGCAAGAGTAATAAGACACAAGCTGAGCTGCCAGATCTGGGTGCGAGATTGGGGTCTTCGTGCTTGCCATCAACCAACCAGAAGCCTTTGGGTTCTCTGGTCATTTTAATGATCATCACTTAAATGATTGGATCTAATATTCCTTTCAGAGGAACCCTGTAGGTTCAGAGAACCCTAGCGATGTTTTCCGGTTCCTGGTGGAAGAACGCACACAATGCTGCCAGTCCCGAAAGGTCCGCTACACAGAGAGGGTGGACTATATCATGCAGTTACCTGTTGCCATGGAGGCAGCAACAAACAAAGGTAAAGAAACAAACTGGTCTGTTGACTGACCTTCTGGTGACTCTCTCAATCGTGAGGGTTTTGAAGTTCTCACCCCCATACAGTCTCTTTATATAGATAGAATGGTTCAAGGCCATGTGGCAAATCAAACCAATGAACTGATCAGGGGAAAGTTACTTGGTTTTCTGTAAAGGAGATCTTAAACACACATTAGTTGTGGCTTTACTGTCCCTGCTTATACTTTTAGGGATGAAGGATTCTACCTGGATACTCTTGGCAAGTTTTCAGACAGATTTATTCACAGACTGTGAGCTCACCGTTAAGTGTCACCACTCAGCAATATATCACCAAGAATGCTAGCAGTTTGTATGATAAAGATGTCAGAGATTTGTGATTTAAAACCTTAACCTGGATTTGACCCAGCCATGTGCTATACCACCTGTAGTACAATTTATTTACCCTTGGGTTTTGTGTGTGTGCACATCTGTGTGCCCAAAGATCTCCATTAGGATTGGATTTCCTTTGCCCTGGACAGTGAACTAGTATATAAAAACGTCTTAATTCTAAGAAAGGAATTGACCATACTAGCTAATGAATATCTTGTTAAAAACACACTCACAAAAAATAAATAATAAAAAGAAACCAAACAAAAAACCAAATCAGCTTTGTGTTCATTAGCAGCAGATTATAAGATCTAACACGATAATAGAGAATAGGAGTATAAGTTTGTTGTCTATAAAGCCAAAATACACAATTTGGATATTGTGGAATTTAGGAGAGGAGGGAAGGAGTGTGAAGTGGTGGACTTTGATTTAATATACAGGACTGTTTTTTTCACGCCTCTGAGCTACATACTTGTTTTTAAAGGAGAAAATGGCTGAGGAGGCTAGAAGACTTGGAAGCAGGAGTGGGAGGTACTGACAAATCTTGGCTGCCCCTGCAATCAATGGTGAAGAGTCTTACAGACTAACAATAAATATATGCTTGTGGTGGAAGTGAAGGGGACATCACAGGAACACTAGAAGGGGGATGAGCCTCCGGTTTCCTACATAATCTCAAAATTTAAAATACTTTAAAGCCATAAGGAAATATTCTGATTATTTGATCAGATCCTTTGGAATAGCACAAGACAGAGAATTCCATCTGCTGCTTTTCACCTAGCCCACAACTCCTTGAACTGGACAATATATTAAAAAGACCATTTTGACTTGAGAATTTAAGTTTTGGAGAACTTTGCATTCTTTGTTCATCAGTTTCAGACATGATTCTATTGCTTATGTTATTTCCAGGTAATGGCTCAGGAGATATATTTATGAATTTACCATATGGTGCTGCTCAACTTGCCAGTGTCAGGACTCTTTCTGTATCATACATAATCCTGGCTTGTCTAGAAAGTCAGATGACAGAGATAGACAGCAATAATTTTCCAAGTCAGATTGAGCTGATAAAGTGAGTAGCTGGTGTTACTATTAACACAGGATTCTGTCTGTCATGACAAGATTTTAATTGCCTGTTGCCCAGTATTTCCAGTTCTGTGGTTTCACCATGAACAGAAACCTTCAAAAACGAGTTGTGATTGTAAGTGTAGCTCCTGACCCCAATGCAGACAAAAAGATTTGATCTCTAGTTAAAGCCATGTAAAAGTTTTATTGATAAGTAAGTTTTTGCATTTCTCAAACTTGCAAAAATAAGACTGGTGAGGGACATCATAACCACAATGATGTTCATTTAGCTTTTAGTCATGTGTTTTTCTCAGATGAATTAATTGCCTATGAATTGAAGAGGCGAGAAGCAGAAGCCACAAGGAGACCTCCACCAGAGCTTGTTCGTGCCAAGATCCCATTTAGTGCGTGTCTGCAGGCCTTTTCTGAACCAAACAATGTAGAGGATTTCTGGAGCAGTGCCCTTCAAGCAAAATCTGCAGGAGTTAAGTAAGCGTGTGTCTGGCTGCCATTAAAAACCTATCTGGTAGTGCTCTGTGCTTACCTTGGTACCTGGGCATGATACAGAGAGAAATAGATAAAGGCATAGTGGATTCTGGCCTTGTATAAGTGTTGGGGCTCATAAATGTAATGTGCAGATCAAGCCTGACTGGAGTTGTGATGACTATTGAGCAGGAAATAAATTGGTCTCAACTGTCAAACTCCAAGAGGTGTTGCAATCTGGTTCTTAAGAGCTTGAACTTTAAATGCTTGTAGCTTAATTGTCTGCCCACGTGTTAAAGTCAGATCTTATGTATCAGCTAGTAATAGAGCTCTCTTTTGTGTGGTAAAGAGATATAGTCTGGATCTCTGTGCTTAGTCTCTTGATGTCCTCAGTTGACCAAAAATGCTGAAGGGCGTTGTGTGGCCGCAAAACAGGGTGAAGCAAATGAAGGCTCACAAGAAGTGAGAAAGTTCTTTAGATGGATGGAAATTTTTGCATTTTTAAAGTGCTATGTTGAAAACTGGTTTTATTATATTACTATGTTTTATGTTGTTTATTGTTTGTGTTTGGATTTCAGTGCATCACCTACAGTGTTTGGTTGCATCTGTTAAGTTTACTGTCACTTATATGGGGTCATGGTACAAGATGGACATATAAAACCAGGAACCTGTGTTGTGTGTTTATAATTGGGTAGATAAAAGAACCAAGAACATCTTGGGCTTAAAAAAGCATTAAGAAGACATAGGACGGCAAGTAGAGATCAGTGCAGTTTTCAGGGGCTGTATTTCTTGCTGAGAACAAGAGTTAGTTTCTTATCTGGTTCCATTTTTATGTTAGCAGCAAGGAATGGTTGGAAATTGGGCTCTGCAACTGGTTTTCTGTGGCTAGGTACTTTCTATTTTTAAGATCACTTAACACGTCAATGACTCATTGCTGTCTTAGCATACAGTTTCACTGACACTGTATTGAAAATTGGGAGACAAGTGCACATGGTGAAGAAAAATGCAGTAGAAGTCTAAAGGTTTTTTGTATTAACTGTGACCATGTTGGAAGAACATTCTAGTCCTTAAATAGATCCAGGGTTAATCTGTAATTTAGCTGTTCTTCATCCCTTAGGTCTTCAAAAGCATTGAAAGGTGAAGAATAGTTTGCTATTTAAAATTCAAAAGTTTCATGCCACAGATGATAAAGTTACTAAAATTGCAAGGTGGTGCTAACAAGAACTTAGAAAGTAGTTATTTATAGTATGGTAGGAAGGCCTTATATTTGTGATGCATTTACTGTATTTTACCCAGAGTTAGGTGAATTAGAAGAAAGGGTAGTGTGTATATGGAGGATACAGGGAAGGATGCAGGAGATTAAATGTGGGAAAAATGGGAGCATAGAGAAGGAGAATGTTACAGTGGGCTCAAGATTAAACTTTCCCTCTTCACTAAGTGGGCAAATATCAGGGATCCCCTTAAAATCAAGAGTCATCCTCTATTTTGATAACTGTTGTAGTAGCTCAATAAGAATATAATGTAGGCTTTCTATATAGCACTTTCATGTGAAAAACTACTAATGACATCTCTTTTATCTTTGCTGAATGAAATGCTTTATCAGCATATTTATCAGTTGGACTGATACATCGTGGACAATGCTACTGTTACAAGAAAGGGGCAGAATAAAAGACAGATTTAATTGTTACTCCATTCTGTCCAAGATACATTTTAAACCCATGTCCTGATGTTATAGCCAATATGTAATTAAAATTTATTTCCTGACATTCAACTTCAGGACAGCTTGAGTTAAGCAATTTTTATATTACTTGTAGCTAGTTGTTTTCTATAATCTTCCTACAAGCTGAATTATTTGCAAGTGTTTGGGCTGACATTCAGGGAGGGTATGAACATACAGAAAGCTACTACCATACTTTTTCACTGTACTTGAAAATTTTTTGGCTTATGTTTCTAAAATCCTTCACTATTGGTCTCTCTCAGGCCTAAAGTTACTCATCTCAGTGTGCCTGAGGTACGGAAATCTGTGCTCCTTGTGATTTTTCACTTTGTTTCAAAGAATTGTATTTCTTGTGCTTCCCAGGACTTCTCGTTTTGCTTCATTTCCTGAGTACTTAGTGGTGCAGATAAAGAAGTTCACATTTGGCCTTGATTGGATACCCAAAAAGCTTGGTATGTGCCTTTTATATTTACCTTTTTCTCATTCTATCCAAGATAATCTATAAGGTGTACAGACTGTGGTCTATAATGAGGACCTGGTTTGAGTCTCAGGTTTATACTGTGAAGATCCTAATTGAATCTTCTTTCTTTTTATGACAAATTAAACCAATCTGTCAGGTCTGTGGAGTGAAAATATCGTTTCATATAGTCAGACTCGAAGTTAAATTGTGCTTTAGTGTTGAATAACTGTTTTCAGGAGGAGAATCCTGTCTGTGTGTACCTTGAGTACCAGAGTCCCCTCTCTGAAGGGGATAGGTTGCACCATGGGGTCATTTTTCTGGATTCATAAGCTTAGCCTGTTTCTCTACCTTTGCAGATGTTTCTGTAGACATGCCAGATTTCCTAGATATCAGCCACCTTCGGGCCAGGGGTCTTCAGCCAGGAGAAGAGGAACTTCCAGACATTGCTCCTCCTATTGTCATTCCCGATGACTCAAAAGGTATTTACTGTCATATGCTCTGGTAATTCTCTCTTGTATTCCCTTTTCCATCTAGCACATACTGATTCTCTTTCATTTTCACCTTTTGGAGCTATGACCAAAAAACCCGCTCTGTGTTTCTGTAATTGAAGATTGTTACAACTCCCCACAGCCTTTTCTTCCTCCCTTCTAGACAACCCAGTTCTTCTAGCTTTTCTGCTTTGATGTTTTCAATATTTATGATTGATGCTGTTTCTCTGAGCTCTCTCCAAATAATTAATATTTTTATGAAATTGCTGTGCCCAAAGGTAGACATCATATTTTGTGAAATAGATTATTTCACTTGCTTTACTGGCTCTAGTCTCATACTTACCCTGCTGTGTGGTGCTTGCCTCTTTTGCAATAGTATAGTGCTGCTCAGTGGAGCACCTTGTGCTGCATTATGATCTCTTTATCCTGACCAGCAGAATGGTTCCATGCCTTCCATGTGCATGGACAGTTATCCTTACTTAAGGATGAAGTCCTTGTTGTTCATCTTTTTTGAATGTTGATTGGTATCTAGGACTTAAGTGGACAGAGGTGTGTGAAGACCTACGTTTATCAAAATCAGCTACTTGCAGAGACCATCTTCTGTCCATTCATTGACCTTCAGTGCATGTTCATAACTCTCTTTCAGTAAAGTCCCTGTGCACTTCCCAGGGCCTGGTGCTAAGGATTTGGTCTCAGACCCCTACTCTGAGTCTCTTGACAGGTGTCAGAAGTGGGGTGAAGCATTAATCCACTAATTTCTTATATTTGCATAACAGGTGTTACTAAACTGCTATTATCTTTTCAACACTTTTGTACTAATTTTGTACTAAAACCTGGTGATAAAGTAGTCTGGGTGGTACTGTAGTGAAATCAATCTCTTGGTTCTTGTGTACTGCCTTTTCTACAGTATGTGGTCTGTCCTGGTTGGAAGGAATTTTAAAATCTCTTGGTTACTGTAATTGTTTGCTGTAGGATTTTAGTGTTGCAGTTCTGAGCAGATGGTCTTCTGTTCAGTCACAGACTTTACTTGAATAACTTGAAACACTTTGGTTCAAGTTGGAACAACAAACACGCCATGTCTGCAAAACTGATTCATTCACAGTACAACACCTTGTAATACACAAAGGACTACAATTTAAGAAAACAGCTTTCCCGGCATAGATTAAGATTCAAAATCTTTCTAATTTTTAAATTACAAGAATTGTTAGGTTGCAGTAGGCCCTAGCAGCTGTGCATGCATGCGTAGTTCACTTCTCTGGGTGTATGTGGGCTGTACAGCCCATTAAATAAAGGCTCTGTCTCAGGGAGCTGATGGCAAACTGCTGACTAAAATATTTGTAGAGCAGAAAGAAAGAGGAGTGATTAATATGCTATGCTGCTTTTTTTTTCTTAAATACTGTTTCTTTTACACTAAAGTTAAGAAACAAGAATATTAGAATATCCTCCTTCCTCATTCTCTGGGTTTCTCTGTCTAATGAAATGGTTTATAGCAAGTAAAATCATGGTTTTATAGTGTGATTTTAGACCCAGGTTGTTGCAGTTTCATCCAGATGACTTAAGTTTGGGTGCCTCAGTATTTGAAAGGAAACCAGTAATGCAGCTACTCTCATGACATGATTGCCCCACTTGCTTGGATATTATAATGGGGCGGTATAATATCAAGCTGTATGTATGTTAAAGGAAGCTAGTACCTGAAATTGTGTGTCAGAACAAAGGCTATGGCAAAATTCAGTTCTCTAAAGGTTTTAATTTTGTCCCTTATCTGTAGGTTCCTTAAAAAGGTCTTTTTTTTTTTATCCCCCTGTTCAATGGACTGACTTAGTTTTAATGTAAATGCATGGGTGATGGTACCTTATTTATAACAAAACAAATTCTTAAGTTGATTTAGGTCAGCTATCAGCTATATTTACTACTGGTTTATAGTACCAGTGACACTTTGCTCTGAGCTGAGCTAGAGAAATTACTGGGTAGAAACATCCCTGGTCTAATTCATGGCAAAAACATCAAGGATGTAAGGATGAACATGCCCTGCCTGTGTGAGGTCAAATGTTTCTATTACTTTAAAAACATGGAATTGTTTTTCCCATATGAATTTACTTAGCCTTCATATAAGTCCTTTTTCCTGGCTTTTTTTTTTCCTTTCTTAATTTTCAGATCATATGACGAACCATTTCATGGAGTGTACGTATCTCGTTTTTCTGAGACTGGTATTTCAGCTGCTTAAAAATTTGTCGTGCTTTTGCTCAGCTAATGTCTTCATAGAGATGCATGAAGTATTGCCCTGCGTGCTTCTAAATAACAGCTGATTTTTGTAGTTGTTCAGCATTTACTTACAGTGTGCAGGACTCTCTAAGAATCTGTAGTAGCATCAGTGTAGCCAGAATATGAGCTGCTCCTCTATCTGCTGCTTATCAGCAGGATCTTGCAGTTCTGGGGGTCACAGCTGCTTGATCTTAGCTCCCTCTCTGGACCCTGATCTCAGCTGAAGCTGTTGGACCCTGTCATCCAGGGGTGAAATTTGACTGGAGGCTGCTAGATCTAGCAGCTGTTGCTTCTCTCACCTGCAAGATCCTGCCTTTGAGAGAGGTGATTGCTTTTGGCTGCCATTTCTAGCTAAGCACAGCACCTGACTTCTTCACCCCCTAAATCCAGTGCTGAGTTTTTTAATAAATAAAGTCCTGTAGGAATTCATCAAGGTTTAAAGATCTATATAGATTACTGTGACAAAAGATTATCAGTAAGTCCATAACAAGTACTATAATGCTTTATACAAGGCTGTTTCCTAATGGATGTGGGTTTGTTGTGGTACTAAAACAAGTGCAAGTGATATGTATTGTAATATTTGTCACCATGAATAAGAAATACTATACAATGGATGAAATTAGACTTTTATATTTTAGAAGGTCCTTTCTTGTAGCTCTAGATATTGATGAGTCTTCAGTTATGCAACTGGCAGAGATGGGTTTTCCTTTGGAAGCGTGTCGGAAAGCTGTGTACTATACAGGCAATCTGGGTGCTGAAGTTGCTTTCAACTGGATCATTGCACACATGGAAGAACCAGGTCAGTGACTGGAAGGTGTAAGTTAAACTCAACTCCTGGTTGTGTATGTTGGCAGTCAGTAGAAATTTTATAATGTGTGACAGAGAAACAACAGCCCCTTCCCCAGCCCAGGAAACCTGGAGGTGTGAGTGAATTTTCCTAAGCTGCTCCTGGGATATTCAGATCTTGACCATTTTGTGGCATCCTCAGCCTAGAAGAAGACAACAAACCTAAGCTCCAGCAGAAGTACACTCTCCTGTCCTCACTGATGGTGCGGGCCAGCTCTCTGTTTTCCACCCTTTGGCTAGGTCTGTGCTGCTAAGGGGAAAGTTGACTTGTGATCGAGTGTAAGTACAAAGAATCCTGTGGTCCGGATGCTTTTCTTCCATATCGGCCTTCTCTAGCTCAGCCTAGAGCATTCATGCTGTACTTGGAACTTGGGCTATCTACTGCTGGACAGGGCTGCTAGATGTTCTCCACTTCCTGTTTCATCCATGCAAAGTTTGGACTTGTGATTCAGCATGGAGTGTATCTGAGCACTCCCTTGCCAGGAAACTCCAGATTTGGTTGAGTGAGCTTTTGTGTTGCTTGTGTAAATGGGAATGAGTTTCACTCGGGCTTAACTGACATATTTCGGCTGTGGAATCAGTTCACTTTACATCTATACGTGTATGAGCTGGGTTGTCTACTTTCTGGTGGTATCATTGCTTCCATACCAATCTTTGCTGCTTTCCTGCAGTTGTTTCACTTCTGTGATGTGCCACATTGTTCCAGCCTGCTCAGTATGAGTTTATCCACCTAGATAGTTTGTAATGTGCACATTCATTTTGCTGTTTTTAATGCTTTCTGCCCATCTGAGTCCTAACTAGGCCAGTGAAATGAATTTACATTGATTTCAGGACTACTTTTGAGGTCCTGTTTGTTGTTTGTTTGTGTTTATTATTGACTTTCCAGTTCAGTGGAACAAAAGAACCAACTGAATGTTTGTTTGTCCCAGACTTTGCTGAGCCATTGGCCATACCTGCATTTGGAGAAGTTGCATCCAGTGGAGCAGCTGCGTTTGGAGCTGTTGGGCTAGATAACCAACCTCCCGAAGAGATGGTTGCAATTATCATTTCCATGGGCTTCCAAAGGAATCTAGCAATTCGAGCGCTGAAGGCAACAGTGAGTTCCATGAGTTATTGGTAGCACTTGGGTTTTGTTTCAAATTACGTGGTTTTGTATGTGTGCACGCTCAGATGCCTTTGAAACATGCGTATAAAAATCCACTAAGTGGATGATGCACATAGAACTATTCTGGCAAAGTGTGGGATGCCTGACTTGTCTGGGATAGAGTAGGGAAAGGCACGTGAATGCTAAAGTGTGGAGGTAAGTGAGGAAAACCTTATCTTCTTTTACCATCTGTTGAGAAACAACCTGGTTGCCTAAAGACTATGCATATTCAAGATGAGAACCCGGGGGCCAAGGGGATTAGTTGTGGGAGGGTTTCTTTTCTATCTGTCAAGCTTCTCCAGAGTGCTTGTTGAATACTATTTTCTGTGGAGGTAGAGTATGTATCTTACAAGTTTTAAGTGCTGTCAAACATGATCCTTACTCTGTTCAAAGACCAATGATTGGTAGCATGATGCTAGTTGTTGGGGGTGGGTTAAATATTAAATGCTAATAGCATGTATTAAAGGTTGCTTTTTTGCTTGTTTGGCTTGCAGAACAATAATTTGGAACGTGCACTAGAATGGATCTTCAGCCACCCTGACCTTGAGGAAGAAAGTGAGCCTGCTTTGGACATGATGGATATGGAGAACAATGCTAATGCCAATATCCTTGCAGAGACGGGGTCAGAGGGACCCAGGATCAAAGATGGGTCTGGAAGTAAGTTCTCCTTCAGCTTAGAACTGGCTATCATGTTGTTGTGTCACACCTACACCATACATAGAGCTCCTTTCTGTTCTGAAAATAGTTATTGGGGTTTTCTGGATGTGATCCAGACAATTTACTTCCAATCTTGCTTCTAGGGCTGAGTCCAGCTCTGTGGGGCTGCTAAGTTTTGTGGGCTGTCTTTGCTCAGAAAATTCTTTCCCTGCACTCAGTGACTATCCTTAGTCCAATTTTCTTGTTGCCACAGTGTATAAGTAAGTCTCTCCTGGCCTAGCTTTACTTTTTGTTTTGCTGCTGTAAGATAGAAAGACAAAGAAAAGCTAGAATGTTTAAATCTGTGGAGGCTGAGCATCCTAAAGATAACGCTGCTGTCACAGACCACCTGAGTTTCTGTCCTCCTGTGGTCTGATGGGAGATTTGATAATCCCTTCAACCAAGTTCCTTATTCTAAATATGGCAGGTATAGTTAGTATCCTGCATGTACTGCTTTGCTATTTTCTTTTGTCTTTTTCTTTGAGATCCTCAGTCATACTACTGCTAAATAAACCACAAGATGGGGCTAATGTACAGCAGTCAAAGTTGTGAAGTAGGCAAAGAACCTATTGTAAGTGTAAAAGCACTAGAGTAAAAAAGCTCAGCGGTGGTTCTAACATAACAATATCCCATAACATTTTTTGAAGGGTCTTTTGCGATCAATTCTAATAACTGTAGTATGTTGTAAACTTTTACCTCTGATCTTGACTGTAATAGTCGTAAAAAAAATTAATGGCCAATTTGACTTTTGTTTCTGTGGTTGCTGTTATTATATAAGAACATTCATTTCTTTGTTTCTAACATTATAAAGACCAATCTTAAGTCTCTAGGAGACATGGGAAACATTGATTATCGTTAGGTTAAAAAAAAAAAAGATTTGGAATAATTATTTTTTGTGGTACTTAGCCTTTATAGACTGAGACCATTTACTGAGTGCCTGAAATCCTGATAACCAACATGATACTGTAAAATGGCTCCAGAAAGCCCTCTCCACCAAAATCCAGGCCCCTGTCCTTATGCAATATCCTGAAAGAAGGTACCCTTTTACTTTTGGTGGTAATTTGGGTGAATGGCATGAATGGGTGGGGAGCAAGAACCAATGCTGAGTCCTCCAGAGACATTAAGCACAAAAATTGTCCTCGTGTTAAAGGAAGAGGTTTCTTTCCTGTCCTCTCTTTTATGGGCTGCTGAAATACAAACTTCTAGGTTTTATTTGATTTATAGGGGATCTGTGATCACACTCATAGATATAGCTAATGTGTGTGCAGAACGAACTCCTTATCTGACACTTTCTGTGCTGCTCTCTGTGAACTGGGAGTGAATCTGCAGTTTTCCCTTTCCTAGTAGGGGCTGTGATCACAGCCCTGCTGTATGAGCACAGATCTATGTGGGTTTGATTTGGATAGGTTTGATGTTCAACAGAGAATCTGACTGCTAGCTAAAGCCAGAATAATGCTGTAGTCTTAACAGAAACTGTTTGGGGATGCAGAGTCTGAGTTAGGAGTGCCTAGCTGCTTCTCCAGTATTAGAAAGAAAGTTTCCCTGGAGTCATATTGCAATGTTAGCAATAAAAGACTTATGGTGCCGTTTGTATTTCTTGAACAGAATACGAGCTGTTTGGGTTCATCAGCCACATGGGAACATCCACAATGAGTGGCCACTACGTTTGTCATCTCAAAAAAGAAGGAAGGTGAGTGGAATTGGGAGAGACACAAAGATGAGCAAAGGTTTTCTTTGAAGTGTGCATCTGTACAGAGCAGGGGGTGTGTTCATGGCAGACAAAATGTGTATGTTGTTGACATGTATACATTTCCCACTGAAGAATTTAAGATTGTTAACAGATTGTAGATGTGATGAGCCAGTTCTAATACCACTGAGGTCTGTGCTGAAACGTGCCATCAGTTCTCCTGTGCTTGCTGTTTCAAATCTCTTTGTTTTGGGGCATCAGTTCTGTATCTGAGCTTTCCCCAACTTCCTCTAATTCCCCATCAGTAGAAACCCATCAAACTAGCAAACTATTGCTAGTACTGCAGTGCTGATCTTGGCTGTGGTTTTGATATGCTTCTGTTCTTTGGCATCGGGACAGATTTTTCCTTCATTTGAACTGTAACTACACATTCCTCTGCATGTCCCTCTTCTTTCTCTTCACCAGTCGTAACTTCACCAGTAAACCTGCTTCAGCTTTCTCTGATAGTTTGTTCTTGTTGCAATGCCTAATTTTAGATTTTAAGCTCTCTGAATTTTGGGTCTGAGAAGTCCCTGATAAACTTGTGGTGATTTTTATACACGTGGAATGTAATCAATCTTGTTTTCATTTCAGATGGGTGATCTACAATGACCTTAGAGTCTGTGCCTCAGAACGACCTCCCAAAGACCTGGGCTACATTTATTTTTACCACAGGATACCAAGTTAGGCCTCAAATCTATTACCTGGCCTTAAGAAGCCATAAGCCTTTTTAACCTGCCCAAAAAAACATACAATAAAAATGAAAATCTAAAACCAACAAAAGACCCCTAACCCTTGGACTGCCAAAAAGAAAAGGAAAACATGGGTTATTTATAGTTTATTTAAAAACAATCATTTGATGCCGCCTTAAGTGTTAGAGGGAAAATTTCTATTAGGTGATGTATAGTACATTGTTTTAAATTTATACACTTTAAAGGATACCTTAAGACCATGCAGATTACTGGTGGAGTTTGCAGCTAGTATATGGAGAAAACAGAAGTTTCAGAGTTGAGCAAAAGTAGCCCAGTCCAGCCAGCTCCTGCCTGTACTGCCCATGCATCTGCTGAAGACCTCAAAGAAATATTTGCATCTTTGGTAACTGGGAGCCAGTGTTTTCAACCAGAGTCCAGACCCCTTAGAGAAATCATATTGCATATAAAGTTGGAGGGAGGGGGTACGTGAGTGTTCTTCAAAGCAGAATGTCATATCTGAGAGATTATTTTCGGTACAGTGAGAAAAGTTATATCTGTTGGAATTCAGGCTTACAGTATTTTGGTTTGCCTTTTTGATGCATAAACCTAAGAAACTTAACTGAGATGGAAGCAGTCTCCTGTCAGTGCCCTGTACATTTTCTGCCAAAGAGAAACAGCAGATTTTATTTTTACAGACATAGGTTTCTTCATCTTTGCTTGAATGTTTTGCAAGTTCTTCCAACAGATTCAGGATTACATATAGCTAAAAGAAGCAGACTTTCTGAATATGAAATTAAACACATACCCTCAGGAAAGGCAAGGCTATTGAGGCTATTATTTAAATTTTATTTTCTTATGAAGGACATAAAGAAGGAGTTATTGTCCCATTATATTTATTTCAGGGAAATCTGCATCTCGACCACTGACATTCCAGCTGAACTCCCTGAGCAAGTACTCACAGTGCAATTCTGCTTTCTACCAAAGATTGCTTAAATATTTTGTTCCATCCATAAGTGGGGGGTAATTGGTTAGTAAAACTGCTGATTTATTGATATGCCCCTCTCTCCTCCCTTTAAAAAAAAAAAAAACCAAAAACAAACAACCAAAAACCAAACCAACAACAGAAACCAAACAACAAAACCACCCACCTTGAAATTATGTTTCAGCTTTCTTAAAACATGCAAACGCACCAATAATCTGATCTGTTCAACAGACACCTTCTAAAAGGGGTTTTCTATCTATGGCAGGGATGAAGGGGTGGATAGGCAGAGGCTGGCCTTTCCTGTCTTTTTGGGTTTTTGGGTGTTGAGTTTGTGTCACAGTCAAGAATATATATGTGGGTTTTTAAATTGTATTTGTAAACACTAATTCTAGAAAAAACACAATGGTGAGTGTGAAACCTTTCATGATTCCAAAAAAACCCCAAAGGTTCACAGTGTTGGCCACTGCAGAGAGACTGTTGCTGGAGTTGCCTCAAATAATCTTACTGAGCCCTCAAAATACATTGGAACAGTCAAAAAAAAAAAAAAAAAAATCCTCCTTACAGAGTGCAAGAGAGGCAGGGAGGTGTAATTACATTTTCTCTGCAGTCAGGGCCTGAACGTTTAATAGCAAAATTCAGGCAGCTACACACTACAGAAGAGAACCCAAATTAAAAATCTGATTGAGTAGGGCATTTTATTTTTTCCAGCATTTGGGGAAAAATAGTTCTCCCTCTGGTCATATAGCCTCATGCAAAGCCAAAAACCACTGTTGTGTTTTGGGGTTTTTTTAATCAGTTTTTGATCTTAAGAGATTGAGAGAAATTCTAGTGCAATAATTCTGTAGCATGTAAATGGTGCCTAATTGCTGGGAAAGCTTCCTGCCCTTATTGACACAAAAGAACAGCATCCTAGCACATTAGTAAGTGGCTCCTGTGAGATCCAGCTGCCTTGTAATTATTAAGCCACCAGTTCTGGACAAAATAAAAGCTGTCAGTAATTGTTTTCCTTCTTCCAGGTTGTGTATTTCACCAGAAAATGCCAGATTTAAAAATGGGATCAGCAAATTATGCAGTGATACATCTATTTAAAGTGAAAGAACAAAACTTCCATATAACTATGTTGATGCTTTTTCATTCTGGCAGTAAAAAAAAGGACAAAAGGCCTCTCTTAAATTTTTTCTTTTTAATTTTTAATCTTTTTGAATGTCCAGTTATATTCCAAAGAAGTTCAACACAACAGCTTCCCTCTTGGCTCATGAACTTAAAGGGCTATTTAAAAACTAAAAAGATCTGGTGGCCACTGCCTTTTTATTTAGAAACCTTGGGTAAATAAAGGCCAACAGACTAGTTAGTCCCCGTGTTCATTATTAAACTGGAAACACGGCTGGTCTGGTAGGATTAAGGATGGAGCTTGGACACCATTTGTCTGGTACACCTAGAACTGGAATGGCCATGGGACTGGTTGATCTCAGTTAATAGGAGGCACACTTAGAAAGCTGGTGGGTGATAAACTGGAACTGGTAAATGAAAGGGGCGAGCCGTTTGCTGACTGTGATAGGTGAGCTGTGGCAGCTCGGGTTCTGAAATTCTTTTCAGTTCATCATTCTTGTGTACTGCCTGCCTAAACTACCAAGTGGGTCAGAAGTACAGGGAGCAGTTGAGGGGAAAGGCTTACGGATCTTCTAAAATTTAGCACCTGAAAATATGTTAAATTCTTCAGCTGTTTGAGGAATTATTTTATTATCTCACAAAGTAGTAGCTTCCCTCCCTTCTCAAATGGCCAGTGAAGTGATCTCACTTTTGCAATGAGATATGTGTGAAGAACATCATCAGTCTGGAGGAGCAGGATGTAAACTCCTGACACTTCAGCCTAATGTGGGGGAGAGTTTCATTTCGTTGTTTTCTTAAACTTCAGCATGCAGAAGCCACACTCAAACAGACTGTACTGAATAGATGACTAATTTATCAGGCTTTGCCTGCTAAAATTTGTATGCACTGGTTTGTGCTGGGCCAGGCCTCAGCGCACAAACTGGGCAGTGGCTGATGGGGAAACTCCGTGTGCCTGGGTACTGTAATAGCAGCTGGGGGTTAGGTGTGCTGAGAGCTTGACAAAAAAGGACGGAGGAAGAAAAATCACTGTGAGCTGTTTGAGACAATCTAACCCGAGAATTATGGGAAGCCAGGAGTTGGCAGCAAATAATGCTCTTATTTCTTGAACTGGTTTTTACTTTTTCATTACATTTAGGATAGGAAAGGGAAAGGAAGAAAAACTCAACAACTTGTTTTCCTTTTCATCGCTCATTCCTAGCAGCGTGCTGGATCCAGCAGACCCCTCACTGAGTCACAATCTTGTCTCCAGAACACATGTAGACACAGACTCCTATTTAATCTTCCTAGATAAAATACAATTAGGATAAAAATTTAATTTATTCAAAGCTATGGTTTTAAATCAAGTCTAGGTATTTCTGGACTCCTATCACTTGTAATTCTACTGTGTTCAGCGGCACTACTTCTGACTGACTTTGGTGTGTCTGAAAACCAGCATCAGTCCGGTTTGATTCAGGCAGCCTCCACTGGGTTGTTAGATTGTTTTAGAAGCACCTCCAATTGATTGCTTTTGCTCTTCATCCTGGCAGCAGCCATTTTTCTTTGCTGTTTTCATGCATTGAAAGACTATGCAAAATATCCAACTGGACATAACTTTTTATTCTTTTCCCATTGCCCTTCCTATCTTAATGGCTGAGATCAGTTTCTGATCTCTATTCACTATTCAGTGGTTTTACTGTTGCATCCTGGAAGTGTCTGTACTGGTTTACTTTGCACCATTCAGAGTTGTTTGCTTGAAGCACCGTTAACATTTTGGAGAGTAATTGTCTGAGATGAGAAAGGTTGTGAATGACACTGGTGTAATTGTTTTAAATTAAAAAGAAATATTCTCACATCTTGTGACTGTGTGGATTCTTACTTCTTTCTTTCCTGTCTGAACTGAAGAGGAATGGACTGAGTATGTTTTGATGCTGCCTCTTTTCTTACGCTTTGTGGTCACGTTTGGTGTTTTACTTAGAAAACCTGCACAAGGAACAAAGAGGTTTGTGAGTCTTGATTTCTTGTGACTCATGGCACTTCCATGGATTGGAAGAAAAAATAATCCCCCCGCCCTGAGTGTATATAAAATGTGACAAAAATAGAAAATAGGATTCTAATTAAGATTTTTTGTTTTGTTTTGTTTTTAACTTATAAGCCAGTTGATGTTCTTTGAACGCAAGAGTTGGCAATGTTCATGGGGAAGAATGTTGTCATTTCACCCCCAAATTCCTGCTTTATCTTGAGCTGTAATTACTCATATTTATTTAGAGATTTCACCTGCTGCTCAGTAAAGGAGAAGTCTTTTTCCTCATGCGTAAGGGCTTTACATAGCAGTGTGACCACTGGGAGGTTTTTGGTAGATGAAAGAATAGACCACAGAAGACTGAGGGGTAGCCACCCTTTCATCTCTTTATAGGATCATGGGACCAGAAACTGGAGGAGAGGTAAGAGGTAAACCTACCGGGCTGCAAGCGATACTACGTGACACAAAAGCAGAGGACACGTGAAGTGTTGAATTGTAAGAAAGGTAAAGATGGTTCAGCTCAGAAGTCCAAATTTAATGATCTGTTTTAGTTTCTTTTTTATCACAGATGTCCTTTGTGACTGTGGCAAATCACAGCACATTGCTCACACTGCTTGTAGCAACTGGAAGAGGTGTCAGAACGTGGCTCCTCGTGCAAGCTGAAGGGCTCTGTTCAGCCTTCGAGGAAGAATTTCCCATATAAGATTTGTACCTGCTAGCTTTTGTGGACTGCTTGTGGAGAGAGTATTGGATAACTGACACCACCACCCCTGGTCTCTGCTCCTCCCCACTAAAATGTGCCACAAGCATAACATGAATAAGGGCAGCACTGACAGCTGTGGTGAAGGACAAATGCCATAAAAATATTGAAGACTGCATGACTGACAGCTGGTGTGGAGTAGGTGATTATATTTTCAGACATCTTTACCATTATCCTTCCCAGTGATTTTCTGAGCAGTTTTGGATGTAAGATTTGGCACTTTTTTCCCCAAACACTGTCCTTGCCTTCAGGACTGCAGTGCTGTGTTCCTGGTCTGTGTGCACTACAGAGCACATAACTGATGGGCATTCCTGCTGCTGCTTTGTTGGTACATTGGAGCAGCAAGAACTAAACTAACCTTAACATCTCCTGAAAAACCACACCAGTGTCCAGAGCACCCATTGCATCCTAAGCGTTAGCGTGCTTCTAGTTTCTGTTCCCTTTTCTTGTTTGGTGGAATGTTCTGGTTAAAGCCATAGACAGACAGTTGGCTTTTCTGACAGAGCTTTCTTTGTACAGGCAAACTGGCTGTATGTTCTGGGTTCTTTTTTCTGGAGAACCCACATGTCCATCGAGAGTCTCTTCAGATCCATGCCAGCGCTGACCTGCTTTGCCGATAGCCCCCTGCTGTAACTCACAGCTTTCTTGCTGGTTGTCATCTCTTCTGTCCACAGCTGTGTGCGGGAGTTTTATGTCCCACTTACGTTAGTATGCCATAGCAAAAACTGTAAAACACCAATAGGCAACTCCCACTATGGTTTATGGGAAGATGCTCGAGTGACGATTTCAATCACTGGAAGTTAGCTTTGTTTTTTTCAGAAAGATTGTCTTTTAATATTACTTATAAGTTTGAGGTGTGCAGTTGCATGATCTTCAGGAAAAATTCTGATCTACTTCTTTTTTTTTCCCCTTTTTCCTCATACAGAGTGAATGCACAAAACCCTTTGGGCCAGGCCTCAGCTAGTACAAATTCCAGGTGTAAGTATAATTGATCAATATGTTGAAATAAAAATAACTCTGCCTCAGAGTAACAACGGATTTATGAAAAATGTTAATGAAAAAAGCATCTTGTGGGCTTAATTTTTAAGCAGAGAAGCATGTTCACATTGTAAACAACAGGATGGAAGACCTCATTTAAAAAATTCCTTTATTTCAGTTGGAGAAGTAGGTCCCTCCTTTCAGTTCAAGTAATTATAGTCAAGACTTTTCAAATTGAAAAGAGATTTTTGAAATATTTGAAGCCACAGACAAAGTTTATTTTTAAAACATATTTAAAAATTGCACAGTTATAAATACAGGTAAATAAATACAATTTAATATGTGGAAAAGAACCCAAGGAAGGCATGCTTCCATTACAGTACAAAAATACTACATTAAATGTGGTGCTCTGCAAATAGTCTTCTATGACTGTAATCGATTTAGCACATCCAATATGCACATCATTCATTTTTGAGGAAATAGATTATTTTAAACAGCAGTGCAAGGAAACATCAAATTAAAGCATCAGTAAACTACAGGTCTGTGTTTAATATTATACACAGCTGATAATGCACTAAGTATGCAGAGGCAAAGTTACCTGTAGTAAGAAACTAATTTTTTACTCTGTATGTACTTACACTCAGATTCTCAATCTGGGTCAGTATGGACCTTTGTAAGGGAATGTAAACATTCAGGTGTAGGGCTGAACTCCCACCTCCCATCCACCGCCCACCTCTCTGCGAAGCCTTGCACCTACACTTAACTATCAACACAAAAAGTTAAGTGGGCAATGTAAGTCTTTGCAGCAGCAGGGCTCTTCAGATGGCTCAGGCGAAAGTATCTGCCAACCCTATAATCTCTTCTTTCCTGTATGTTGGCTTAAAAATAAAGCCAAAAAAACTGAGGCAAGATTGCAAAGGTTTTCAAACAGTTTACAGCATATAGAAGCCACACAGAATGCCTCTCTAAACTATATAGTTTTATTTTACTTGATACGTTATACTCTGATATATAAAATATATTTATAAATGTTTTTTTTCTGAATTTACAATAGATTACTGATATTAAAAAGGCTATTTAAATTAAAGTTTTAGCCAATGTTGATGGCATTCTGTAAATGTGGAAGGGGAAAAAGATCAAAGCACAAAGTCTTGACCGTGCAAGCTTGCTCAGTGGGCTGTCACATGTGCAAGCATTTGCAAAGTTACAGCTTATTTTTAGGAAAATTTAGATTCCTTCTGTCTCTTTCCCATGCCTAATACCTATTACTTTGTGGGCTGAGGCTCTGAAACTTTCTGTGGATTCTGTGACATGCTTGTTTTTCATTTTGCCTAGATTCGTTCAAAGCGTCGAAGATCTCTTCATGCACGGCACTCCTTTTCTCTGATTTATTTCACCAGTCCAAAACCAGTAGAACTATAATGAAGGAATCTGATTTCTAACCTAGATGAGGTTTGAGTAGTAGATAATACTGTATTGCATACCCACCATTTTTTCTCAAAACGTGCAGTGCATTTTGTCTATCACTTTTTTTCTGTGAATACTCAGTACTTTATAAGCATTTATTACATAAATTCACTGTACAGACTGCTAAGCTGACGACACTGTGGTGACCAGAAATCTCACATCTTCAACTGTGCAGGTTATTTATGCGAAGTAAAGATTATGTCTCATTTTGCAGATGCATGTTTGGGCAAAAAAGATCTACAACCAAGTTATGCTTTACTCTAATTCTCACTGGCTCCATCAGGGGATGATTTAGCCTCAGGCTTTGCCTCTGTGGCTGCCAGTAATTGTATCAGTTATTACTTCTGTCATGGTGGCTTTTGTGTTAGGGAGGCCCCTGCTCTTTGGATGTTCCTAGGATCGCCTGGCTGAGCTGTTGGTGTTGCCAGGGTCCTCTTCATTTGACAGACAGGCCCAGGTTTTCTAAATTGGCTCATTAGCTCTTCCAGCTTAACATGATGTTCTGAGCTTTCAGCTGAGTTAAGTGTCTGCAGCTGAAATCAGTGGATGCAGCAGATACTCAGATCCTGGGAAGTTTTACATCTGCATATTTCAAACAGGACAGTCATACATGGAGCAGCCTTCAGAGCTAGGGAGGAAGTTAGAAAAGCCTGGCCGTGGTAAGTATGTGTGGAGTGAGACAATAGTTGTTTCACTGGCTCTGGGAATCTTTTTCTTTGGTGTGGTGCTATCTGGTTTATACTAGAGAAGAAAATGTTAAAGTCCAAGCATCCAGCTTCACCACGAAAGCTGTGCACGTTTCATTTCTTAATTCTTAAGAGTATACTAAAATGTCTGAAAAAGCTGTTAGTGCAGATGTCTAACAATTGAAGCAAACATGAAATCGATAACAAAGTGATTTCTAAGGATGGGATTTGAAAAGGGCTCTGCGTTTGGTCTAACCTGTTCCAAATAACACGCTCAACTCAGTTTTGAGTTTGGCAGATGCAAAGTACTTTTAAAATATCCCATAGAAGATACAATCAACAGTTTAAAAATACCCTATGTGTGGGCCTTTGCATGCGTTCTGTAAACATGTACTCAAGTAGCATTACTGCATGCTTTGTGTTAATGCTTCGCTGGGGTTGTTAATGTAGCTGCATGCAGTACCGGCATGTGAGGTTTTGTGTCATTTGAACCTCCCCAATATTTTTACAGGTGCTGTGATTTATCAGATCATAAGAAAATACCATTAGATGCAGATATGCATATGTGTTTACTTA